GCGCACTGTCGGATCAGTCCCATTGAAATGCACCTGGTAGCTCAGTTGTAGCTAGGAGATCTCTGGATTTCTATGTCTGTCTTGCTGGGTGTTCTGTGCTGCACTTGTGTCTATTCAGCCATCTTGGAGAGTCTGATTCATTGATCTTAATGGATGTATCAATAGTCTATTCCTTCAAATATTTAATTACGTTAAATAGTATTGGACATAACATTATTTATTATCTATTCCTTTATTACACTAAATAGAATTGGACATAACATCATTTGTTATCTATTCACCTGTTCATGAGCATTTGGGTTGTTTCCAGTTTGGGGTTATTATAAATAAACTGCTATAGGCACTCATGGAAAGCCTTTATGTGAACATGTGTTTTCATTTCCCTTGAGTAAATATCTAGGACCAAAAAGACTGAGTTATCTGGTAGGTATGTGTTTGACTTTATAAGCAATTGTCAAACTGTTTTCCTGCTGATTGTCCCACTTTACATTCCCACTAGCAGTGTATGAGTTCGGTTCTCCACATCCTCCCCAACATTTGGTATGGTCATTTATATTTTATTTTAACAATACTAATGATGACTCATTATAGTGTTAAGTTGCCTTTCCCTGATGATGAATGGCATTGAGCCTCTTCTCATATGCTTATTTGTCTTTCACATATTTCCTTTTGGCAAGTGTCTGTTCAAATATTTTGCCCATTTTCCTTATTGGGTTGTCATTATTAAGTTGGAAATATTCTTCATATAGTCTGGACATAAGTCCTTTGATATATGTAGCTTAACTTATCATTTTCATTATGGTGTTTTTCAAAAGGCAGAAGTTCTCTTTTAAAAATTTTTAATGAAATCAAAACTATCATTTATTTTATGTCTCACACATATAATATTTCAAGAAACTTTGCTTATCCCAAAGTTACAAAGATATTCTATCTGCTTTCTTCTAGCATTTCATAATTTTAGCTTTTTCGTTTAGTTTTATGACCCATTTCAGTTAATTTTTGTGTATTGTGCATTAAGTGACAACACTTATTCTTTTCAGACAGCCCAAAATTAATAATCCTGGTTCTGTCATTTACTGTAAGCCATAGGCAAAGTGTGTAATTCCTGTAGACATTCCCTCAATGTTTCTGGCCCTGTTTCTTTAACAATATTATGTAAGATTGTTAAAAGGATTAAGATTCATTTTGTTAATATTAGGCACACATTAGGCCTGGCTAACATTGCAGATATGGTGATGAACACATTAGAAAAGAGACTGCCCTGTGAGAAGAATGGAAAAGATGACTGAAAGTGTGCAAGTTAAATTATGTACACAGGGAGAGTAGAAAGAGGCCACTAAACCCTGAAAACAGGTATGTTATGGAGGCGTTTAACACCACCTCCCTTGAATGCTGAGCTGTTGTGTAAGCATAGAAGAATGCAGAAGAAAATCGATCTCTTCATCGTTTCAAATCCACTCCGATTCACCCCTTCGGTGTTTAGAATGAGAGTTTTCAGTGGCCGGTAGAAGCAGCTTGACTATGAATCCTGTAGGAGGCTCAGATTTTATGGTCTAATAATTTAGAATGCATCCTGAGAATCCTTTGCTGGCATATACATTTCCAGTGTCTTAGAATCCTTTGTTGTACACACATTTCCAGTGTGTTATTACTTTGAGAGTCATGCAATTAAACAGATGTTTTTGCAGTACTGAGAATAAAGGGATCCGAAGAACTCTTGAAAAATGAAATGCAGTCCATATATTCTCCCAATAAAATGTCCATTGTTCAAATCTATAAGCATTTCACTCAAAAGGGATTCCATTCTCTCTGCACTAACCTACAGCACAAGCTTCTTTCTAGTGTGGCTCCCAAATCTCCCCTGAGATTTGCACAAAGGTTTTAACTGGAACTCCTAGAGGCTCTAAGGGACATGTTTTACATCCCTCAAAACCCTCCCTTATATCCAACGTTTGTAATGGAGATCTTTTTACAGCTACAGGGAAGCTTTCTCCCACCTCTTTCAGAGACAAGGCAACTTCACTCTTTAGCAACCAGTCTGTCATTTACCTCCAGTGACCATCATTTCCCAGACCAAAGTCCAGATAAGTCATGTTCTATTTGAGGCCCTAACCAACTATAACAAGAAAAAAAAAAACCCTTAAAAATAGCAACATAAGTAAACTTTTCTGTAGCACATATCAGTAAAGGGTAATGGAAGAAGTCAGAATTTGTTTAGCCAAAGACCACCAGGAACCCACAGTTGTATCTATGGTTCCCTATAAAAGGAGACACAACACAGGAAGCCATGGGGCATCTCTCTAACAGGGGATTAGAAAGGACTCACTATTGGATTTGGGCCTGTATTAAATGATTTGGGGGAGATTGAAAAAAAAGTTCTCTTTCGTTTGGATGTTGTCAAGAACAGAGGTCAATTCTCTGATTAGAGTAAATCTTATCTATAAGACGAAAAGGAATAAATCAAGGCTAAAGTGATAATTGGTAAAAAAATTAATAGTCATTTAGGTCAGCCACGACAGGGGAGCGTGTAGCATTGTTGCGTTTGGACAATATTCATGTTCTTGCTGTGCATTCAATCGTGATTACAGCATGGGTCTTGTCTTTGTCTTGTCCTGTCATGGTACAGAGTGGCTGTGTCTGGGTTGATGCTCTGTGAAACTGTTTATGTTCAACAAGGAAACACCACAGTTTGGCTGTGAGCTCCACGGCAGCTCGTAGGGCTGATAGCACAAAGTTGGCTCCTAGCTGTCATCTGCTGTAAAGAAGCGTAAGTCAGGGAATATAACCGAATCTAGGAGAACGTGGATGGCTTCCCCGAGGAACTGACATTTAGACTAAGACTTTAAAGTTTAAAAAGTCTTCTGTTGCCACAGTCTCAAGGGTTTATTTTAGCCTTTCCCTGTGTTCCCTTCCATTTACCAACACAACTTTTTCTTACAAATGAATTGTACCTAAAAAGCATGAGTCAAATCCGGCTTCTGGTAACATCCCCAACCTCATCCAAATGTGAGAACATTCCCTGACTCTCGAGTTTTATGTGAATAAAATCTGCTAAATGTTCCCATGAGAAAATTATAATCAAAATTCTAGTTCAATATATAAGGGACATTAAATGGAATGCACATTTTAAGATGGAACCAAAATGTTTCAAGACATCACAAGATTCTCGAGCAAGAAATAATTTAATATTTCCCTCAAAGCCCATATTCGTAATATAGAGTAGACTATTTCAAACTGAACAATTTGGCCTTCAGAATTAGTGAGATAAGTTTGGTACCTAAAGAAAAGGAGAGAAAATAAAATATATCCTTTTTCCATCTTGTTTCGAAGCTTCATGGTGTAAATGAGAAGCAGAATTTTATTCTACTACAGAATTAATGAACTCTTTTCAAAACTCACTTGATTAAATTCTTTAAATTTCATGGAATTCCAGATCTTCAGAAGGCCTTAGGAGATTAAGGGAGGGTAAAGCCTTGGGTCAACGGGCTAAACATCCCTCCTGCTATCATGCTGAACGGAAGATGATTTAAATAAGATCCATCCATTATCTGGCAAAACAGAAGCATCTTTTTAAGAATTGTCTGTGCATCCCTACTGGGAATGGTGTGCACTGATCTTAAATCCAGAGAGCCCTTGAGGTAGAAATTGGAAGATTTGTGCAGTTAGTAACCACGTACATTTCTTATCACCTATGGCTTGGGAATTTGAGTTCTCAGTGATAAGTTTATTTTACACATTTAGTGCTGAGAGTAAACCATGATACAGTAAAACATGCTAGATGGGTTGTATTTCCTGGTCATAAAGATATAATGTGTTAGTATACATCCCAAACAGTCGTTTTTGTTACTTTAGTTGTTAGGAATCAATTGCAGAAGTACCTGTTAAGGGCCCCCCAGTTTTGTCAAATATTGTGCTGAGTGCTTTCACACTACCACCATGCAACAATGTGGTAGAACTAGTGTTAACATCCCTGGTTTCCGTATCCTTCTACATGACATTTAATAAAGCAAAGTTCTGCTGTTGATAAGAAGCCTAGCTGGCCAGGTGCGGTGGCTCACGCCTGTTATCCTAGCACTTTGGGAGGCAGAGGTGGGTGGATCACCTGAGGTCAGGAGTTCAAGACCAGCCTGACCAACATGGAGAAACCCCATCGTTACTAAAAATACAAAATTAGCCACATATGGTGGCGCACGCCTGTAATCTCAGCTACTCAGGAGAATCGCTTGAACCGGGGAGGCGGAGATTGCGGTACAGCTGAGATCACACCGTTGCACTCCGGCCTGGGCAACAAGAGCAAAGCTCCATCTCAATAATAATAACAATAATAATAATAAAATAAGTCCAGCAAATGAGATAGCACAGGATTCTCATCTTTGACCAAGAGACCATTTTGAAAGTATATTTAGTCTAGATTGAGAAATACTGCAAATTAATTCAAGATCCAAGCATGTAAGTCCACACAGATCTCTTTTATAGATATGGAGCCTGAATACTGTTTGCATGCAAATCAATTTTATATACACCATAAAAATGGCTGTCTAATTGCAGGGTACCAATTCCAGTGCACAGCATTAAGAACTAGCATAAGAATGCAGGGGCCAATTACTCTCCAGGATATAAAAGTCTCAGAGGGCCCAGCAATCTAATTCCTTCCCGTGAAAACACGCAGTAGCGGAGGTCTAGAAGTTAAAACACTCTTAGATTTCACGTTTATTTTATACTGCTAAATATTTGCCAATGTATCTTTTACAATCAGACATATTTCAAAAGCTTATAAATTCTAGCAATTAAGAATGGTACAAGCCAGTTGAAAGCAACTGAGCAGCAGAAGAAGGGCAGGAGAAATCAGCTAAGAAGAACGCCATGCTGGGTCAGGACCCTCTGAAGTTTCCGTTTTCTTTCTTCCACTGATTTATTTTGTGTGCTTTTAAGTGAATGGGCTCAATATTTCTAGTTTTATGAGTAATTCTTTTTGTGTTTCAAAAGAAAACATAGAGACGTTCATTTTGGCTGTTTTATTGTGATGCACAGCTAACAACGTGTCAGATATCATTAGCTGTTATCTGATGTACCAAACATAAACGAACAGTGAAGCAGGCTCAAGGCTCTCACCCATTCTGGACAACAGAGGAACGCGACGGTAACCTGCAAGAGAAATTATGTCTAATTAGACCAGTAACCAATTAATCAGCGGTGGCCCCAGTAGCCGTGCTGAGAAAGAAGAGCTCTTTACTAAGCATACATTAAAAACCATGACTAGAGAGTTACATTCCCATCTGGTATATTAATCTTCCACAAAAATTAAATATGTGCATTTTCTATTCTGACTTCCTGCTGCCCAGCACTGAGCACACAGCTCATACTTCTCCTTCCGCAAAGTGCAGCTTGATCCAAAATTAGCCCCCATCCTTCTGCTTCAGGAAGACCTGTTTCCTAGGCACAGAGGAGGTTCAGATGCCGTTAGAAAAGTATTGTTAAAAAGAGGTAATTGGGAGCACAGTGTAAATCACCTTGGAAGGCTGACTCTGCAACACAAAGATAATCAGCCCTGAAAAGGGGTCAGGAAAGGATAGTCTCAGGCTCCCAGTCTCTTCTCCTCAGGCAGGAGGATGAGTCACTGCTTCTCCCTTCTGGTTACCACCCATCATCATTCCTTTATGGTAGTCATGACTACTCTTCACTGAAGCAAAAGAACTCTGATGCATGTAAAGAAATGCTTATACATGCCAAGTTTGTCTAATTAGCCTTCCTGTCAGTCCCACACCCCCACCCCACGTTCCACATGAGAACACATTTCTGTAATTCCACAGAGAAAAAACTATGTATCAATACATAAAATTTCCTTTATATCCTACTTTATGGATAGAGCTATTTGGTGTGTCCAAATGTGTCTTGATATAGACAAGTTATATTTAAATGTTTGTACGATCATCTACCTTTTAAAAACATTACCTTTGTTCATGCACAGAAGTGGCAAAGTATATTGCCCAAGAAATTCATTTCCTGCTATTAAACCTTGACTTTCAACAACAAAACGTATTAATGCCAGTTCTGGCACATGAATAATAAATGTAAATGTTTCATTCCATCTTGGACTAAAAGCTGAAATAGAAAAAAGAAAATACAAAGAACAGTAGATACCATATATATGAAAAAAATAGACAACACTTGTTCTCCAAACTTTTTCTTTTTTAACCCTTTAACAAGAATAATATCTCATGTTTTAGAACACATAGGTTTTTAACATACTCAGCGTGAGAGGAATAAGAATCAAACAATATTGAGTGTTTACAATTGCTGTTGGCAATGGCCAAATTTACATGGATCAACTCAATTAATCCTGATAACCACCCCATCAGGGTAGGATGGGAAAACTGAGCCACAAATATGTTATATAATGTCCTGAAGGTTTCACATATGTGGTCATGAAGTGGCAGAGCAGGAATTCAAACACGGGGAGTCTGACTTCAGAGCAGAAGCTTTTAAGCATTATGCATATGACTGATGTGCTTGGCAATGCTTTAGCCAATAAACAGAAAGGAAGAAAATCAAGGAACACCATTTTTCTATACTAAGTCCTTGGTATGGTTAGGCTTTGTGTCCCCACCCAAATCTCATCTTGAATTGTAATCCTCAGGTGTTCAGGAAGAGACCTGGTGGGAAGTGATTCGATTAAAAGGACAGTTTCTCCCATGCTGTTCTCGTGATAGTGAGTGGGTACTCATGAGATCTGATGGTTTTATAAGGCAGTTTTCCTCGCTCTTGCTAGCACTCTTTCTCCTGCCACCACATGAAAAGGACCACATTTGTTTCCCCCTCACCTTCTGCCATGATTGTAAGTTTTCTGAGGCCTCCCCAGCCATGTGGAACTGTGAGTCAATTAAACCTCTCTCCTTTATGAACTACCCAGTCTCCAGTAGGAACTTTAAAACAACGTGAAAACAGACTAATACAGTCAGTCTTGTTATGGGAAGAACTTCATAAATAGTTGCTAGATACAAACTAAAGCCAACTCTTGATCCTTCTTTAGACTAAATGCACTTTTCAAAGTCCAAAGTTGATGAATTTCAATCTCTAGGAAAAGAAATCATCCCAAACAACCAATTTCTTGCCAGGTAAGAAATGCAAATTGTATCACAATATGACCCAAATCATCCAAAAAGTAAAGCATAATTTAACAGAAGCAGGAAATTCACAATCAGATTAAATATAAACTCTACTTAATAAAGACTCAAAGGTTTAGGGAGGAATTATATGCATTATTTTTCATTTACAAGGGCGATGTTACACTTTCTACGTCAATAGTTTTTGTTCGACTTACATTTCCAGAAGCACTGATGAATTTCTAATTATACTACATCTATGTTTTCTATGGTGCACCTGTGGTCACAAGAGCACATTTACCACATAGCAATCCAGGGTGCAGTCTATGCCCACAGAAATAGTAAACTAATTGGCTCATGCTGAAATAATGACCACATTACCTTGACCTAAGAAGAAAAATAATTTTATGGAGTACAGAGGCAGGTTTATAGTCAGTTCTTTATAGACACTGCAAAACACCTGCAGAAAACATTTATACTGATTTCTTCTTCCTCCAATCCCACTTCATTACGCATATGCCTCTGCCTCCCTTCCATCCTCCTCCTGTATCTCTCTGTCTCTCTCTCTCTCTCTCTCACACACACACACACACACACACACACACACGCAAATACTATGATTAATTATAAGAGAAAGCCCTCACTTTTAGATGTCAATATAAAAGAGTAAACGAAGATACAAAATCTGATAGTGATGAAAACAGTTCTCCCAGATTTGACCAAAACTGAAGAATTACTTCCACGCTCTAACCAAATGTTATCCTTTTCCTCCCAGGCTCTCGTGTCTAGCTAAACCATCTTCAAATCCTTCCTGTCCAGCCATCTGGACGTTGACTCCTGCACAGTGTTTCTCACTTACGTCCCCCAGTCCTTTCCCAATGCGATGGCCTCTTCTACATCATGGCTTTTATATCCTCTAACCACTGAAATTTTGTCCTGACTCTGCTTTGTATTTCTCATTTCCCTCTCTTATACTTCTTCATCTCAAGTCTGCAGAAACAACCTAACACTCAACTCTGTTCGAGTTATGGCCCTCTTTAAAAGTCTGAATTTATCCATTTTCTAGAAAAAAAAAAAAAAAAGTTCCTGATACCTTAGCATGGCTTTTGAGATTTTCCATGACCCTCCCTAAATAACTTTCTCATTTTCTCTCTCTCTCATCTTTCTTAAGCGCCCTATCTTTCACCCATCTTGAGTTTCTTGGCTTTTCTCTAGCATGTTTAAATTGTGTTTTCTTCATATTTTAGGATTTAAATTGTGTTTTCTTCATATTTTAGTATTTAAATTGTGTTTTCTTCATATTTTAGTATTTAAATTGCGTTTTCTTCATATTTTAGGATTTATATTACGTCTTCTGCCTTAAATGTCCTTGTCCCCAGTCTCTCAGAAATTCTACTCATTGTCCACAAACCATCTCCAAAAGTGCCCCCTTCCAGTACAATTCTTTGTACTCTCCTTGAAGTACTAAGTACTCTAAAGTACTCTAAATCATAATTGTTTTACTTATATCTGACCTTTCACACTGAACTATAAACTATCTATAGCAGAGCTATTTGGTCCGTATATAAGAATACATTTAATAAACAGATTTTACGTCTTCTACTACTTAGCACAAGGCTTTTAGCATAGCCAAGGCTCAGTAATGTTGGATAAAACAAATTGAATTGCTGCAAGGATATTCCCGTAAAATCGAGGGATGTAATTAAAATTCTAGAATCATAGTATTATAAGGAGCGCACTGAATAAATTAAGGTTCTGAGCATTTTGCTATGAAGATTCAAGTAGAGGATGGAGGGAAGAAGAGATAGATTACTATAAGCTTCATGACATCAGCAGTTAACATCTCTGGACACAGCCATAGCAATGTACCTTCAACTTTAAAGGGTGTCAAATGAGGCAGGAAGTCATCATCAATATCTCTTCCTATTGATAACATGGGATAAGGCAGTAAATATTTCCCAAATCTTTTTCCATGACTTTTGCTCTAGAGGCCACACAGGAAGTGTACAGGGGAGTGCAAGGGAGGCAGACTAGAGGCATTGTTAGAAATTACCATCCAAGAAGATAAAGGAAAAGAAAACTGTGCCTGCTCCTCTATTGGTACCATTTGGACTGGAGCATTTTGCCAGACTCTGGAATGATGCTCACTTTGCTTTAGGAATATACCTTGAAGAATCAGTCCCAATGTCTCCTTCAAGGTGACCCTGACGAGGGGTCAATCCCAGGAAACTATCCTTTTCTAATTTCCTTAGTTATTCCAACCTCAGAGAGGAAATGGCAGTGCCAGTACATACTGTATAAGATGCCATGGCATGCCAGAATGCTGAAAATCTTACCAAAGTTATTTTCTCTAATTCTACACTTCTCTTATGGCAAAAATGACTGAATTATCAACATATTATATCAGTAGGTTTCTATGGCATCCTTCTGATTCAGAAGCCACAGACATTTAATCTAAAATTATTCAAATAATTCATTATAAAAATACATAATATGCTATGTCAAAAATTATAGATTTTTGATTTACTACAAAGGCTAGAAAGAAGGTAAGTAGATTTGAGGCTGTCAGAATATCTTTCTTAATTCAGTGATATAAGGGAAAATATAAAAAAAAAAAGGTAAATTTTTTTAAGCAATGATTTTGCAGGTCAGATAAATTTCTATATCCATAATCTAAAAATATAGCTAAACGACCTAATCATTGTAAAAACGCTTTTGCTGCATATAACGTTTTGCTAATTTTGGACGTAATGGAAAACTCTTGCCTTATGAATAATAAATTTGTATAAAAACTCTATCAACATATAATTTGGAAGCTTTCCAACAAGAAGTCTAATGGCAGTTCAATAAGGTATATTAGGAGCTCACCATTTTTTTTAATTACACGAGTCTGCTGCTTCATTTGATCATTTGGAACACCAAACACTTCTATAATGACTAATGTGTCCCCTTTGTTAGATGAGGAATGACTAAGAGGCAACTGGATACCACTGATGAGCTGCACAAATATATATAATACAAGAATTTAGCAAGATGTTAAGGTACATCACCGCTTATCTCAAAATTAAATTATGTGTTACAAAAAGTTGAGAGACTGTAAGTTCCCACAAAAATTTAAATTGGAGTATAATATATAATACAAATTCAAAATTAAGTCTTTTATCCTCAATTATCAGTAGACAAATACCAAGAAGGTGTCCAGAATTACAGTGGAATCCACAATGTCCATAATTTTTGATTCATTAACATTTTAAAATCATTTGTTATTATCACATTTTATGGGATTCAGATTGAGTTACTCTGATAGCATGTACTATTTTTGAATGCATATATATATATGCTGCAAAAAAATTAAACGCAATATAAATATTACTTTTTAAAAAGTACCATTTAATTTCCCATGATAGCATTTTCTTAGTTTGACAAAATCAGTTATCTTAAATGTATATTAGGGACTGGGTATCCAAAAAATCTTAACAAAGTAATTAATAATCATTGCACTTAAACTTTTATTTGCTAAGCTAACTGTTGAAGCAAAGATTGGTTTTAATTTAAGGAACAAAATGAGCACACAGGAAAACGATATTTGAAATGTTCTAACTTAAGCTAAGAGATAGAAGATACAAGTGTAAAACTGCAGTTATAAAAATTGAGGCATAATTCTCATTTCTGAAGGCTACGTAAGGGGAAACAAATATATAATTAAGTTTGATTATAATGGAATAAAGGAAGGAAAAGAGGAAAGACAGGAGGGAGAGAAGGAGGAGAAGAGACAAGAAAGGAAAACAAAAACCACTAATGTGTAATTTTTCCTAATTCCGCAGATTATGGCATTAGCTAGAAGCCAGTGTGACTGTGCAACTATTTAGCAATCAGTGTGGAATGGGCATCAGCATAAACAGACATCAAAGTAATTAGAAAGAACAACGGCCATTAACATTTAGTACGCCGGTCCCAATGCCACTGCAGACTAAATAGCACTCTGCAGGTAATAGACCCTTACCAGAATGGAGTAGGTTCTGCTTGGTGTAACTCATTCCAGAAAAAAAATTACCTAATTCTGAAAAACATAATTGGATACCAGAACTGAGAATATAGGGCAAGTTTGTCCAACCTGTGGCCTACATGCAGCCCAGTCTTTGAATGTGGCCCAACACAAATTTGTAAACTTTCTTAAAACATTATGAGATATTTTTTTGCATTTTTTTAAAGTTTATCAGCTGTCAGCTTTCAAAAGGTTGGACACCCCTGAATCAGGGAATACTGATTTGCAAAGAAATTCACAAATTTGTTTGTAGAGGAGCCAGTGCAGAGGAATGAATGTCAAACCAACAGCCCTCAGTAATCAACCCTGTTGTTGTCCATTGGCCTTACTCGTAAGATTTGGGATTTAGAGAGCAGTCCTGTAGTTTTTATAAATTTGAAAATAACTGGCCTCGACCAAAACTCTCAGATCGCAGATGACAAGGGTAAACCAGCCATGTCAAATCCTTTCATCAAGAACTTAAGAACGCTTACAGTAAAACTAGGCCCTCAGATTCCCAAATCATGCCTCTACAAACTGCAAGTCAAAAAGGAACCATAAAGCTCCCTAGAGTGATCAAGGCAACAAAGACCCGTGTGGCCATGGCAGCAACTTCCCTGAGAATCATTAACTCTCCGTGACACTTACGTCTCAACACGAGACTCCTCGGAATACAAATGTGGCATTTGTGAGCGTTTGTGCACTCTAGCTGCCTTCCACCTTCACTTTCTCAATAAAAGAGCGCATATGTTCTCTTTACTATTCTCACCAGAAAAAAATAATGTATTTGTTCAGTGAACCTAGACATATTAGCCACATACTTTGTGTCATCCACAAATAGGAATGGAAAATAACACATCCTTTTTTTTTTTTTTTTTGAGATGAAGTTTAGCTCTTGTTGTCTGAGCTGGAGTGCGATGGCACGATCTTGACCCACTGCAACCTCCACCTCCTGGGTTCAAGCAATTCTCATGCCTCAGCCTCCTGAATAGCTGGGATTACAGGCATGTACCACAACACTCAGCTTATTTTTTGTATTTTTAGTAGAAACAGGTTTTCACCGTGTTAGCCAGGCTGGTCTCAAACCCCTGACCTCAGATGATCCTCCCATCTCAGCCTCCCAAAGTGCTAGGATTACTGGCATGAGCCACCGCACTCACCCACATCTTATCCTTAAGAAATTCTCACACAAATGAAGAAGACAAGTAACAAATAAATGAACAGTTGTCAACCTTGTGATAAACGTGATAAATGTATAATATATGCATGCAGAGAGGCTTACGGAAAACAACAAAGCCACAAAAAGAGGCACACAGCTAACCTAGCCTGGGAAAATGCGTTCAAAAAGAAGTGATTCCTACGTCTTGAACAGTGAGTCAAAATGGAGGAGGCAGGTGAGGGCTGAAAGAATACTCTAGTGATGGGAAGAACATACAGAGTTCATGGAGGCGAGTCATGGTTAGAGAAGGATCCTAGTTCCAGATGGTCGTACAACAGGGTGCAAGACGAGAATTGGTGAGAGAGAGGCCAGACAAGTAGGCCAAGGCCTGAGAAAGTGGTCAAGAGACACAAATAAGTACTATGTATGCATGATTAGCACTGTAGCAAAATCTATCTGGTCAACCTGTGGAGGATAGAGATGGAGGACTGAGACAAACTACCTGAAACCATCAGGAAGCCAAAGGAATAGACCTGATGACAGGTAGTAAATTCCTGATACAGGACAGCAGCAAAGTAGGTCAGATCAAGAGAATGGAGAAGGAAAACATTTAGGAATAGAATCATCGAATTTAAAGTTGATCTGCATGTGGGAAATGAAGGCTATGTGGAAGAGGAGAATGCTTCTCAATTTTCTAGTCTGAGCAGAGTGGAAGAATGAGGCCATTTGTGGAAATTTAAATAGGAGTAGAAGTAGATTTGACCAGGAAGGGATGTTCAAGTTTTAATACTATAGCTTTGACAGAATGATGATTACAGAGGTGAGGGTGCTCAGTGAGCTAAAATATGCCTTTAGATTCCCAAAATGAGGTCCAGTTAAAACTTGAGCATTGCTGGTGGTGAAACTATGGATGCTTATGTAACAGAACCCAAGGAGAATCATTTGAGAGCAAGTTTAAGGAAAGACTTTAGTTAGCATACATATCTTAAGGGAAGGCAGAGAAAGAGAAACCACAAATAAAAGTGACAATCACTTGGAAGGTAGGGGGTAAAAGGAGAGTCCAGTCCCAGAGCACAGAAAAGCAGTGTGTGTAGAAATGGAAGGAATCTTCAACCTGGTTGATTTGCCATTTCTTTTTAACCAGATCAACTACAAAAAGGGTGCCAACGTTGTGATAAGGTTGTAAAGTGAACTCAGCGGCTGATACTTGGCCAGACCTTGAAAGAATACCAAGGATCCAGTGTTGTAGGCAGTTGCTTCCTATCCACTAAATGCTTCTACATCCGAGTTACGAACTCCTTAACAGACGGTGGAAAAGTCAGCTCCGTACTTCATAGGCACTGTTTCCTGCAGTGGTCAGGATCTTTCTAGTCCTGTTCATCTTTGCTATACTTTCCACATTAATTTCTGGAAAACAGCTCTCAATCCTCTCATTCTCAGCTGAGATAAAGTGGCCAGGGCCTGAAGTAGATATGGCATGTAGTTTCCCAAATCCTGTGGTATTAGGATGGTGGAAAAAGGAGCTGAGCTAGGAAGAGTCGCAGGAGAAGCACATTCTAGAAGCGCCAGCATTTCCTGCGCTCTGACAGCCAGGTAATGAGGAGCAGGGGGGCGCTCAGCATCTAGCAGAGCTTCACTAAGTAATGACATGCTGGTCAGGGATGGAAACATAAGTACTTACAAAATTCCAGGTAGGATCTGAGATGGTTTATACAGTTCTAGGAGCAACCAGTTAAATAGAAAGAGGGGCCAATGAAACCCTACCCACTCCATCGATTTGCAAACAAGTACAGTTCCACCCTAAAATAGAATTGCTCATAAGTGGAGAGAAAAAGCGAGTAGAGGTTTTTCAAAAGATTTGGTGACCTTTTAAAAAGAAAATAAACACAGCACTTAGGTTATAGAGGAACAAGAAAGATGTTTTGAAAAGTCTTTACTAATGGAAAAAAATCTTAGACACTGCTTTTGTGCTCCGTAAGGTTTTACAGGATGTAACTTTTAAAGAGATAAAATAATAAGACAAGAGTTTGGAGGAAGGGTACTAAGTGGGATACGGACAGAAATAAAAAGGAAGCAACAGGAGGTCAACCGCCATGGGGCAGGAGGACTAACAATGCAGGAGGAAAAAAATCATCACATTAAAATTAAAATTAAATCAGTAAGGAACAAAATCAAATGCAGACTTCGAATCATCAACATAAAGGAAAGAAAATGTTAAAACTCTCCCAACATGCAGCGGAAAAGGGAGTATGTTAAAGTTGACACAGATTAACAGAGACAGAAGACAGATACTGGAGAAAGACATATGGATAATTTTTCTTTTTAAGTAATCAAATGATATTCACAGACATAAGGGGGAAAAATCCTGACCTACAAAAGCCTAATAGTGGACACTGAGGAAAAGACAACAGCTCATAAAATGCCCTGGTAAAATTCATGAAAGGCAAGAAAAAGCAACATGTTCGCAAAGTAATTAGTGGCTGGCTTGTGACCTGTATCTCACAATATTAAATTCCTAAGTATAATGAAATCATATAAGTAGAACTTTGAGAGGAAAGGTTTTAGCCTCAATATGTCTAAACACAGGCAGCTAATCATGCATGTAAAATTGCAACAGGAAGACATTTTTCAGATGTAGAAGGATGCTGAAATACTGCCCACATATAGTACCTGAAAAGATTAACAGAAACTTAAAAGAAATTAAAGTAAATCAGTGGAATTCAAAATGCTAATGAACACTATCTAGTTTATATAATAACCAAAAAGTGTAAGAGAAAAGTTTTTCGTCTTACCCTTATTGTAAGTGTAACCGGCATGCTCTCTTTTATGTTACTTGGGTTAAAGTCTGATTTACTATCTCTTAAGAAATGTGGTTTCAAAATATATCCAGAACCACCATTATCCAAAAATTTCCCGTTTTGCAGATCCATAGGCAGACCAGGAGTCTGGAAATTTAAAGCCACTGTAAGAAAGAAGTGTCTTGACATTATCAGGAAGTAGAGAATACAGATAAAGGAACACAATTAAACCATTGACTGAAATCTAATCATGAGTTATGTATCCCCGAATGTTCTAAGAGCAAGCATCATTATCCTAATAATTCACGATTTTTAAACCTTTTTCTTCTGCCACGTCCCCGTAAATGAGTTCCAAAGTTTAATCTGTAATAAGTTACTACACAGCTTTGAGTAAATGGTATCCAGTATAGAGCATAGAATAACAATGCTCATGTCAGGTAACATTTAAGAAACATGAGAATGAAGAGGATCGGTGCATTGAATGCAAGAAGTAAAGCCAGCAACTATGTCATCCATTTTCAAGTCCAAGATGCTGTGGTCACTTGAGGGGGAGTGAGAAACAGGCAAAGCCATAATTGTCTTTAAAATAGGGAAGTGTCCTTGATACAGGCTGGTAAACAGCCACTGTAGAGAGTACCACCCTCCACCTCCCACCCAGCCCTACTATTCCCCCTCCTCACACCTACAGGCCTCGCCACAGTCCGGTGGAAGAAGGGTAACACCTGGTACTTTCTGACTGGTTAGTGCAGTGCTGTACCAGCTGTGCAATTTGGAATGAGAGTCTGGTGAGGACAAATAACACAGTTGTGCAATCTTTTTCACTTTTCAAGGCCATGAATGTAGAAGCTCATGTAAAGTATAAAAGATAGAGGTCATTTGACTTGAAGAGGCCTTGAACAAATCTCAAGCAAAGGAATTTGATCTTCAATGTCCATTTGGGTTTCCTTGTGCCCTTCTTCCACCACACACGTCTCATATTCACTCCTCATGGATTTAACCACCATTCCCTAAACCATCACCCACATTTACCCCACTTCCACCCAGTGAAGAATGACTTCAACTCTTAAAACCCATGATTCACCATTAGTGCCTGAACCCAGATCCCCCAGGAACAAAGAATTCTTTACTAAAAGTCTTTTGCATGAATGGTTCATACATCCATAAAGTGAATTCATTTTATGTTACTTTTGCAAACAACTCAATATCCTATATAACATACCCATTTGACAACCTATATTCCAAAACTCTTGGGGATTAAAATTAGAAGAGTCTGCTCTTGTTGCTTTGGGATATATTCTGGTAATGAACTTCCTGGTGTGAAAAATAAACTCATGGACTGAAAAAGAACGATGAAAACATTGTGAAAGAATTCAAATGAATTAAATAAACCACTATTTCTATATATACCATATAATTCTATAATAGTTTCAACAATTTTCGTATGTATTGTCTTGGCAAAAATTTGCAATGCATGAAAATCAGAATAAATTCATGCTTTGTCTACAGTATAATTCACTATTATTTAGATGTTAGTGACAATTTTATCACAAAATTTATGTACACTGATTATTCAAGGAAAAATTGATTAGCTAATTTACATATTTTTTACATCCAAATTATTTCACTCTGTTGTAATAATACATAAAATTCCAAAATAAAATACATGCATTTTTCAAAACAAAAGCAGCATTTCCCCCCATTATTTTTCCATTTTGATTTTGGCAGTAGGACAGAATCACATGGAAGTCACACAAAGCTATTTGATTCCACTAAATTAATCCTACTTTCACAGATTCTCAGGGTCGAAAGGTACCTCAGAGTTGTCCAGTTCGACTTCCAGCCCCTTCACTCCAGCATCTTTCCCCAACATTTATTCAATCTGAGTGCACATCTCTCTCTTGAAAAACTCTCAATGCTTTTAATTATTTCCAATGACTTTCTTACTTGGGTAATCTTTGCCTACTTGTAGTATGCACATATTCAGGAACAAGCATACACATGCAATCTATTTCAGTTTCTGTATGTACTCTTTGTGTTTCTTCTTTTCTATATAATATTTAAGTCACTTGAGATTCAAACGTATACCCTTTATCGTTTGGCACCTTCCTCAGATTTCTGAACACAGTTTCATGCTTCTCCAAGCCTTTTCTCTTTCATTAAACGGATCCTGTTTCTGTAACCATTCCTGCTGACGCGGTGACTGGTCACGGGAGAATGGTTATTGCTTATGGCTTACTTGATTTGCTAATCCAATGAGAATAGAATCACCTTCCCCCTCACCCTAAATACTATTATTTAGGAAGCATTGTCAATTAAAAATTACAGTTAATTTTATCAATATGCATTTTCAAAGTTACACATTCCTTGAGAGAAAGTTTATCTCAAAACCGTGTGTGTATTAATGCCACATAGGTGTCCAAGCATCACACTCCCTTATCCAGTCCTAACAGATGTCTGTCCTTAGGCAAAACACATACTCTTCTAAGTTTAATGTTTCTCATTTACAAAGTAATAAATATGAATGACGACTAAGGTCTCATAACATAATATGATTTTGTTATTTCTGAGATTAACCTTTATAAATTAAACATTTTTGTTATTACAAATGCAGTTCACGTTCACTGTAAAATAGGAGCACATCAAAGAAGAAATGAAACCACATGTCATCAACTGGTAGCCACTGATAAATCCTTGATATATATCTTTCCATCCTTTTGTCTGTGTATAATTTTTAGTTGAATGATAATGGTTGCCCCTTTCATAAAACACTCTTTTTATTTACGAAAATAATCTGAACATCATTTCATTTCAATAATATTCATCTGCAACTTTATTTTTAATGATGTTTATTATGTTTGTAGTAATAATTGGCATCCTTCAAGTTAAACCTTTGCTGACTTCATTAATTATTTACCATTAACTTTTGGTGCAAGAAAAATGCTCTATACCCCTTCCAAGAGATGGTAATGCTATACTTTGACTCTACTCAGAACTATCCAATTCTTTTCCATATTTTTTTGCAAGTTTTTAATATGATGAAAGTAATATAATTATAATTAATCTATGTTGTGTACAGGTCCTGTCCTCATGAACAACAGCAAACAATACAATCATTTGAAGAAACAGAGACCAGTAAAGCATGTCATTCAAACTCTCTTAAGCATACCTTACAGTAAGAAATACATTTTCGGCTGGGCGCGGTGGCTCAAGCCTGTAATCCCTGCACTTTGGGAGGCCGAGGCGGGTGGATCACAAGGTCAAAAGATCGAGACCATCCTGGTCAACATGGTGAAACCCCGTCTCTACTGAAAATACAAAAAATTAGCTGGGCACGGTGACACGTGCCTGTAATCCCAGCTACTCAGGAGGCTGAGGCAGGAGAATTGCCTGAACCCAGGAGGCGGAGGTTGCGGTGAGCCAAGATTGCGCCATTGCACTCCAGCCTGGGTAACAAGAGCGAAACTCCATCTCAAAAAAAAAAGAAAAAGAAAAGAAATACATTTTACAGTCCAGCACACATGCACCATGCACAATTGCTTCATAAAACCATACTACTATTAGTGCTTACAATACAGTCTTCTTCTATTTTATTCCATTCCATTCCATTCTACTCTACACTACTCTGTCCTATGCTATTATTTAACTGTAGTCCAGACCTACTGAATTAATTTTTGGTTATAACCCACAGGTTAAAAAAAGAAAAGACCCTTTAAAAAATACAGGATCTCTCTAATAGATAGAGAATATGAACTAAAGTAATCTTCAAAATCCTTGAATACCTGTGACCAGCCCAATAAGGTTAATCATTAAATATATCAGAATCTGCATTCCCAAACAGCAACTTTTCTCAAGTCAATTGTAGGTGCTGATTTTCCTTCTGTGGTATTTCTACACAAGATGATAGATTGCATTTTTTAACTTTTAATTTTTGTGGATACATAGATATATATATATTTATGGAGTACATGAGATATTTTTATACAGACGTACCACATATAGTAATCACAACAGGGTAAGTGTTGTATCCATTACCCCAAGCATTTATCCTTTGTGTAACAAGCAATCCAATTATACTATTTTAGTTATTTTTAAATGTACAATAAATTATTGTTGACTGTAGTCACCTGTTGTGCTATCAAATACTATGTCTTATTCAATCTATCCAACTATAGTTTTGTATTCATTATTGTCCCCACTTCCCCTACACCCCCACTACTAAAAAAAATTGTCACCTGGCGGTTAAATTAGTTGCCCTCTCCCTTTTAACTTTGGGACACTCCAAATAATGAGTCTTCTTCCCATTCTCTTTCTCACGCCCTGTTTTACCTTGGGCATTGCCAAACAGAATAACCACCTCTGGTTTAGAATTGGAGGCAATGAAAATAAGATGCAGAGACAGACGACACTTCTAGAGATGTGCAGTGTGTATGTACACTCCGCACAGCCATCTGGTAGTCCAGACTGGGCGCCATTTTTCCCCCTTCCTTCGAAATAGACATAGAGCCTCCAAGTCTGATTAACTCTACCCGCTTCGATGCCTATTAAATACACAAAGTTGATCCTGTCTCCGCTGTCACTGCCATAAACCTTCATTACCGCCTTCCTGCCTGCAATCTCACCCTTAGCTGCTAGCAGAGGCATTGTTTAGAAATACAGTGAATCATGCCACTCCTGAGATTTCAATCTCTCCTGCTCACCTTCACTCTAGAGCAAAGTTCAAGCCTTCCAATTTGGCTCTGCCTCCCTCTGCAGCCCTGCCGCTGCTCTCCTATATAAACAGCTCGCTGCAGCCCCCCAACCCTTCAACAATGGGAGTCACATCGGACATTCTCAATCCAAATGTCATGGCTTAGAAAAGTTAATTAATGGCTATGTTCTGTGAAATAAACCTTAGCAAGACCTGAGGAATGTAACCCTTTTCTAAATTTTGCTAAATATGTTGAAATTTTATAAGAATATACATTTTATAAATATCATTGAGCAATCTTAACACCCTAGCAGTGAATCTAACTCATTTAAACATTTCTTCTATTTGAATCATAAAAATTTACCTCGCAGTTTTGAAAGTTTTCGGGCTCGTGTCTCCCCAATAGAATTACTTTCATTAAATTGTTGATACAATCTTGAATGCTGAAAGTTTCTGAACTTCTCGGCTTTAGTATAAATGACAAGATCAGATAAGGCCAGAGAAATTTTTAGCTTCCTGATCTAAAAATAAAATGCAGTCATTTCAGATTTTTATGCTAATCATTGGGGAAAAATCTTTTTCTAATAAAACATACTTTGAAATAAATGATTTTCATCTTTTCATTAGATTATCTCCTCAAACACCATTTGTATTAATTCAATGTGGTTATTTTTGGGAACAAAAATATTTAATGTTAATAAAAACTAGCTCAAATTTAAAATCATGATTAATGTAATAAGTATTGAGGACCACAATTATTACTGTTTCATTTTTCATAAAGATCTCAGTATCTTCCTGTGAATTTTATAAATGTAGGAATTTTCATCATGAATACATGTACTTTGAAATGACTTCAATCCTATAGTGAACATTTGCCACCTCACAACCCGGCATCTATTTCTTGCACACTTCTCTGTAGCCGTTTCCCAAGTTTTGTTTTGGGAAAACATTTCTTGCTCATGCTCAATCCAAGCATGAGTTGTGCAGATTGGGTGGACTAAACAGCATTTCCCTAGCAGCAGTGACTGGTTCAGGGATATGAGCATAACCAGATGAGAGCCAACGTACCAAAAAAGAAAAAAAAATGCTTTCTCTGCCAAGAGATAGGCATGCCACTGGATTTGAGGTGGAAATGATATAAAGCTGAATTTTCGCAATAGTCTTGCACCAACACAGAGAAAGTGGGAGCAAAGCTGGAGAAAGAAAGTTCTGCTGACCTTATGTGAGACACTATATCAAGTCGTTTTTGAAGTTAAAATCCCTTTCACTGAATTTTTCATCTATGTAGGCCAATTAATTATCATTTTATCTAAGCCAGCCAGATTGGGTTTGTGTCCCATACAACCTAATGTACTTTCTTTCACCATGCTAATGTATATACATATAACACTGCATATTATAAACACTGAATCTTGTCTCTGCCTTTACTAATACCAGGGAATTTCTGTTGTATATCTCGGCATCTTTTTTTTTTTTTTTTTTTGAGATGGAGTTTCGCTCTTGTTACCCAGGCTGGAGTGCAATGGCACGATCTCGGCTCACCGCAGCCTCCGCCTCCTGGGTTCAGGCAATTCTCCTGCCTCAGCCTCCTGAGTAGCTGGGATTACAGGCACGTGCCACCATGCCCAGCTAATTTTTTGTATTTTTAGTAGAGACGGGGTTTCACCATGTTGACCAGGATGGTCTCGATCTCTTGACCTCGTGATCCTCCCGCCTCGGCCTCCCAAAGTGCTGGGATTACAGGCTTGAGCCACCGCGCCCGGCCGGATCTCCGCATCTTTTGCACTTTGCACAAAGTGTGCTTCATAAGAGTGCATATTTATCAACTATAGAGAATTTTTTTTATTTTTACTTATTTATTTTTGAGACAGGATCTCATTCTGTTGCCCAGGCTGGAGTGCAATGGCATGATCTTGGCTCACTAATCCTCCACCTCCCGGATTCAAGCAATTCTCCTCCTTCAGCATCCCAAGTAGCTGGAACTACAGGCAAGCACAACCACGCCAGGCTAATTTTTGTATTTTTATTAGAGACAGGGTTTCACCATGTTGGCTAGGCTAGTCTCAAACCCCTGACCTCATGTGATTTGCCCACCTCAACAACCCAAACTGCTGGGATTACAGGCATGAGCCACCGTGCCCAGCCTAGAGAAAAAAAAAAAAAATTTTTTTTTAAGCAGCTAACATAAAAAAAAAAGGCAATTAAAAAAATTTCTCTTCCAGCATCAATGTTTTCAAAGTAAATTGTAAATGTTAGACTAGAGTTTTTATAAGAAGGAAAAAGATTTTTCCAGAATTTAAAAAAATTCTCCACCAAGAATAAAATTAGAAAACTTCTTAATCACTTGTAAGATTTTCACAACCCACCACCTCACCTTCTTTTTCTTGAAAAGCATTACTCCAGATGGCTTTTGTACCCCTGTTTCCTTGTCTTGACTGTCTCCTAAAACAGACTCGAATATTTCCGATTCTTTGAGTTCCTCCTCCTCCTCCTCCTCCTCCTCCAGATCTGCCATCTCTTCTTCCCATTCCTCCACCAGACCATGCTTATTGGAACCTTTTCTTTCACGGGTTTCCTTCAAGGTTCCTATTTTCTTGTTTTTAACTAATACTTTGAATTTTAGTGCCTAAGGAAACAATTTGAGAGACACAATTACACATTTACAAGTAAATTTGCATTTTAACAGTCATTGAAAAGTGTTTCACTATATTTTCAATTAGCCTACATTAATAAGATATGTAAGAACTCCATTGTTTCCTATTCATACCTCAGTACAGGAATGAATACAGTGATATAATGTTATTGATTATAATTCACCAAAAAATAAGCCTGTTATGATTGAGACTTACCATATGCCATTTCTTTTATATTTCACAAGTTGGTACTATTCCAAAAATTTGAAATATGTGAAAAGTATATATATATATATATATATATATATATATTATACCATAATATTGCAATTAAAATGTTACAAACTTCTGGTAGTAAATACTTCAGCTCATCATTTTCTTATCCAACATTAAAAAGTTTTAAATGAAATCAGGTATATTAAAATGTCTGTCCTAAGTGTCTGGCATCTAGTATAGACTAAATTAAAGATTTGTAATAAAGACTCTTCAAATTTCTTCTGTATTACATATAAGCATCATTAACTTAATATTTTCTGTCCATCAAATCTTGAAGCATAGCAGAATTTACCATCAGTGTCACTTGTTCTAAATAAAGACTCTGGTTCCATTCTTTCACTTGGTTATTCCTGCCCTTAGGAAAATTTCCTTAATTTAACAAGTACATTTAAGCGCCAGCTCTGTTATATACAGTGCTGAAATCTGGATTATAAAGTTTTTTTCTCCAAAGCTCATTGATTGTCCTTTCCCTGTTGTCATCCTCAGGTATCCATTCAAATGATTCCATCATCTTGGGTCTTCTCTCTTTTAAGTGACCCTTCTAATACTCTGTACTGCAGAGTTTACCAACGTACACTCTGCAATCCTGTGCATCAAAAATATTATCAGAAGTGCTTGGAAAAGGGACAAATTCCTAGGATCTATTTCAAAATTAGAGAATTCGATTCTTGAATTGTGGGGCTGGAATTGGGCCTCCTTAACAAGTCTCTAGGCTATTCTTTTATACACAAGGACAGAATATTGTAGGATAAAGTAACTTTTTTTTTTTTGAAACAGAGTCTCACTCTATCACCCGGGATGGAGGGCTGTGACGAGGTCTTGGCTCATTGCAACCTCCACTTCCCGCATCCAAGCAGTTCTCCTGCCTCAGCCTCCCGAGTAGCTGGGTTTACAGGGTAACTTTAATTCTTCATTTACTCATTGAAAAGCACCTCCCTGCTTTAGTATGGAAGCTAAAATTTGAATAAAAGCTATGTACTGGAGTGCTAGAAAAATAGATTCACATATAATAGGAAGCAGGACTCTCTTCCAAGAAAGCTAAAAATTATTATAATTTCCAGAATTGGCCTATGGCTCGGGTTTAATCTTTGATAATATGTTTCCAGCACTTTACAACATTCTTTACTATTTCTTTTCTCCCACAATTGAATACATTATGTGGGCATTCTTATGAGGCAAGAGAACTGTGGTCTTTCCAATTATTACACAATTCACTTTTTTCTGTCTCAGTTCTATTGTGAGCCCTATATTTCTTGTCACTAGTGTCACAACACTTTCACTTTAAAATTTTTCACTGATTTAAATAAAATGTTAAAAGAAGTAAAATTTGAGGATCTTCCAAATTTATTATGCCATAGGGAAAAGTTCAGCCCTGGAAACTCAGTCATGTAATTCAGCTGTTTTTCTTATCTGGTGCCTGACTATTGCTTCCTGACCTTTGTGTTGAGATGTTATATGTTGACCAGACTCCCTATTCTTCATTCAAACCTAGACAAAATATTCTTAGAAATAGAGAACCTTGTAATTACCTCTTTACAATAAAGTGTTAAGCAAACCCCGTAGAGTGTAATCAACGGTAGCCAGTCAAATCTTAAATCTGTAGGTTAGCCATCGGATGGAAAATACTGTAACTCTCTTCAGCACATCTGTTTTGCCTGGATAAAACGATTTTCACTTTTTCTCACACCAGGGTCAAGGACACCATTCTTTGCTGTGTGTCCCAGAGAGCTACGCTCACACTTTACACTCGAATAAATTCTTCTAACTGAATCCTGCGCCTTTTGATTATTTTAGGTTGACAAAATAAATAAATAAATAAACAAATAAATAAATAAGAAAAACACAGAGGGAAGTATTCAAATATTACAAAAATATTGCTGTGTCTACCAAAGTTGAAAACATGTCAAAACTAAACTATTGGTTGTTAGACAAACTATCATCAAAAAAAGTTTATTTATCATCTGATAAAAATGGGAGTAAAAAGAAAGGCCCAGCAAGGAAAACTAAACAGGAGGAGTCAAAGAGGGGCGAGGGAAGGCTAACAAACGTGATGTTACAGGCCAGGCGCGGTGGCTCACACCTGTAATCCCAGCACTTTGGGAGGCCGAGGCAGGCGGATCACCTGGGGTTGAGAGTTCAAGACCAACCTGACCGACAGGAAGAAACCCCATCTCTACTAAAAATACAGAATTAGTGGGGTGTGGTGGTGCATGCCTGTAGTCCCAGCTACTCGGGAGTCTGAGGCAGAAGAATCACTTGAACCCAGGAGGCAGAGGTTTCAGTGAGCCGATTAGGGCACCATTGCACTCCAGCCTGGGCAAACTCCATCTCAAAAAAGAAAAAAAGAATGTGATGTTACAAGAGAAAGTGTTTCAGGGAAAGGAAGTGGAGGTCTACAGTACTGAATGTTAATGAGAGAACAACCAGATGAAGACTAAAATAAGTTCATTAGAATTTATCATTAAGAAAATCTCTGATGAATGTAACGGGAACTCTCCTGCCAAGCGGTTAGAAGAGGAAGAGGGACTGGATAGGTTGCAAGGAGATGAGAAAACGGAAATTTGGGCTGTGAGAGGGAGTAATAAAGAGAGAGCCAGAGACAGAAGTGAAGTCCTGAGAGTAGAATGGACGTGATTTTTCAAAGCAAATACTTCAGTATGCTCAAATTAAGATGGAAAGGGTCGTAAAGACAGTGAAATTGAAAACAGTACATTTTTTAAAGGGGAAACTGTTACCCAGCTATCGAGATATTGGGTACTGGCTCTATTGACAGTCTAGAACTTTTGCCACTTTCTGAGACTTTTGCCTATAAAACATACTAAATTTTTGGTCCCTGATACTCATTGCTTTGAAATTGGGGACCCATGAAGTAGGAGACACAATCAAAATGTGGATTTCACATAAAGATATATTCTCTTTATCAAAGTATATTCACTAAATGTTCATGAGAACATTCCCTAGGCAACATTGCCAAGACAAACCTCTATGAGTGATCAAAAATAAGCATTTTCATTGGTCTCTAGCCCAGTTTCAAGGGGCAATATAACAGTGACATGTTTTCACGGATTTTTTTTTCTTAAAGTGAATTTCTCAGAAAAAAAAGTTACCTCTGGTGATGGTAGAGTATCAGGAAAATCATCAAGCATATCAGAAAGCAAGGACTCTCCAAAAGTAGTCTGCAAAATGTCTGCCATTACTTCTTGTTGGGCGGGAGAGCAGTGATTTTCTAAAGAGAGCACCACTGGGTAGTCAGATGTCTAAAAAAGTAACCATTACTGTGGTTATTCATCAAAACTTCTAAACAACTGTAATGTAATTAAGTGTTTACTGTCTTTTTTTAAAAACTTACTTCTAATGTTTAGTACCTTTGCAAAATAAGTATTCTTTAAACTGTAAGTACTCGAGTTTGGCAAAACAGAGACCATTAAATCTGTATAAAAAGAAAAATTTATTACTATTTATGCCAAAAGAATAGAAACAACTGAAGCACCCAGCAGTGAGTACTTGTTTAAATAAATTATACTGGCCAGGCTCAGTGGCTTACACCTGTAATCCCAGCACTTTGGGAGGCTAAGACGGGTGGATCACCTGAGGTCAGGAGTTCAAGAACAGCCTGTCCAACATGGTGAAACCCCATCTCCACTAAAAATACAAAAATTAGCCAGGTGTGGTGGCATGTGCCTGTAATCCCAGCTACTAAGGAGGCTAAAGCAGGAGAATCACTTAAATCCAGGAGGCAGAGGTTGCAATGAGCAGAGATCGTGCCATTGCACTCCAGCCTGGGTAACAGAGAGAGACTCCATCTCAAAAATAATAATAATGATAAATAAATTACACCATATTCATAAAAGGAATGATATAGGCCAATTAAGAAGAAGGCAGGTGGCCCAGTGCGGTGGCTCACACCTGTAATCCAGCACTTTGGCCAAGGCGCGTGGATCACCTGAGGTCAGGAGTTCAAGACCAGGCTGGCCAACATGGCAGAACCCCATCTCTACTAAAAATGCAAAAAAAAATTAGCTGGGCATGGTGGTGGGCACCTGTAATCCCAGCCACTTGGGAGGGTGAGGCAAGAGAATTGTTTGAACCCAGAAGGTGCAGGTTGTGGTGAGCTGAGACTGCATCATTGCACTCCAACCTGGGCAACAGAGTGAGATTCTGTCTCAAAAAAAGAAGAAGGCAGAGCTATCTATACCGCTATAGAAAGTTATCTATACATTTATGAAGAAAAGCAAGTTACCAAAAAGTAACATACTACATTTTTATTTATTAATATACAAATATTTAGAGATTTTAAATGTGAGACAAAAACATTATTAATACTCATGAGTTGAGGGAAATGTTAATATTCTGCTTTTTTAGTTTTAAGTTTTGTAATCAAAACTCATTGTTTTAAAATTAGAAATGACAAAGATAAAGATATTTCCAGTTTCTAATAGCAAAGGCGTTTATTAAGTGAAGCGTCTGCCCTTTCTCACTGCTGTAACTTCAAAACTTGCCATAAAATCAAAACATCACTGGATCTTATTTAAGATTTTTTCTTTGTTTTGATTTCATATTTACTTATCAGGGCACAAATTTACCAATTTGTGAAAAAGCCAGGGGATCACAAGTCTTGCTGCATTTGCATAGCACTCAGAACAGAACAGATCATGACTATGTCTTTTTAATGTGTGAGTATGTTGTTCTGTTATTACTGTGATAAAAATCACTACAAACCTTGGTGGTTCAAAACAACATTTATTCTCTCACCCGTCTAGTCACCAGAAGTTTGAAGTCAGTTTCACTGGGCTAAAATCAAGGTGTTGGCAAGGCTGCGCTCCCTGGGGAGGCACTGGGGAAGAATCCTCCTTGCGTATCCCAGGTTTGGGTGGCTGCTCACATTCCTCCACTTGTGGCCACACCTCTCTAATCTCTGTCCCTGTCTTCCCATTGCCTCCTCTGGTGTATCAAATCTCTCTCTACTTCCTTCTTATAAAAGTGCATATGATGGTGTTTAGAGCCCACTCAGATAATGCAGAATCATCTCCACATCTAGAAGGGTTTAACTTCATTACATCTACAAAGGCACTTCTTCCAAAGGAAACAACACTTACAAGTTCCAGGAATGAAAACTTAATATTTTGGAAGCCCTTATTCGACCTACACAATGACTTTCTCAATTAGAGTGAGTCTACTGACTCACTCTGACCCCAACAGAATAGTGTAAATCTTTTTCCAAATATAGTGAGTAATTCTGAGACTGGGCAAAGTGATGGCCTAGAAGGTGAATTCTTCCATGTGGCCCTGAAAACACTGATGTCATTTCTTGATCTTCTTGGCTCCATCCTCTGGAAAGATTCTCTTTCTTTCATCTTCTTTGGCCACATTGAAAGCGGATGTTGAGGAGTTTGCTCTCTTGAAAGCTAAGCAATGTTTGCAGCCCATGTCCTTACCAAAGGCTGTTTTAAGGCTCACCTAAGGTCATACTTGCGGGGGTTTTTTTTTGGCAATACAAGTCCCTCAAAACTTCGATGTCTTATATATTTGTGCGAGTAAACTCATGCAACTAGACTCAAGGTTTTTTTCCTAGTCATAGTTATCGTGTCTTTAATTTCATGTCCTCTTTTTCCAACTTAATAGTGATTACCTTGAGTAGGAAGTCTAAACTTTAATCTGATCTCTGCTGCAAAACTGAGTCATCTTGTTCAGCTGGGAAGTCTCATTGAGTTTTCATTCCTCAAAGCGTTGTTTAAAATCTCACTTCTTGCTCTTTTGGGTGTTTTAAATAAGTTTTATTGTGTATACTTAACGTATACAACATGATGTTATGGGATACATGTAGATACTAAAAAGGTTATTACAGTGAATCAAATGAACATATCCATCTATCCATCATCTCGCAGTTACCCTTTTTTAAATTTCTGTGGCAAGAGCAGCTAAAATTTACTTATTCAGCATGAATAATATAAACAGTACAATTTTATTACCTATAATCCTCATTTGGTACATTAGATAGCTAAACTTTTTCATCCCACATATGTGGTACTTTGTAGCCTCTGACCCACCTGTCTCCATTTTCTTCCCACTCCCCATATCTCATTCATGTCAACCACTGTTTTGCTTTTTATCTCTGTATATTTTAGAGTTTCTTTTTTTTAATTCCACATATAAGAGAGATCAGCCATTATTTATCTCTGTATCTGGCTTGTTTCACTTAGCATAATCTCCTCACCCATGTTGTGGTAAATGGAAAGATCTCATTCTTTTTAAAGACTGAATCATATTCCACTGTATATATCCATTTTCTTTCTCCATTTGTCTGTCAGTGAACACTTAGGTTGTTTCCATATCATGGCTATTGTGAATAATTCTACAATGAACAATGCAGCACAAATATCTTTATGAGATGGTGATTTAATTCCCTTTGGGTATATACCTAGAAGAGGGATTACTGTGTTATATGGTGGCTCTATTTTTTTTTATTTCTTTTGCAACCTTCATGCTGTTTTCCCATTGGTGGTACCAATCTACATTCCCACCAACAGTGTACACTAGTTCCCCTTTCTCCACACCTTCGCCAACATTTGTTATCTTTTGACTTTTTGATGAGACCTTCTAAGATGGTAACACTGTGAGGTGGTATCTCATGATCATGTTAATTTGCATTTCCCTGGTGTCTAATAATGTCAAGAACCTTTTCATATGCCTGTTGGCCATTTTTATGTCTTCTTTGGAGAAATGTCTATTCAGATTTTTTGTTCATTTTTTAATTGAGTTGGTTTTTTTCCACTAATGAGTTGTATGAGTTCTTTATAAATTTTGGATATTAATCGCTTATCAGATACATGGTTTGCAATTATTTTTTTCTAATCCATAGGCTGCCCTTTCATTTTGTTGATCATTTTCTCTGCCGTGCAAAAGCTTGTTAGTTTGATGTAGTCCTAGTTATTTATTTTTGCTTTTGTGATCTGAGCCTTTGATGTAATATCAAAAAAAAATCATTGCTAAAATCAGTGTCTAGGAGCTTTTCCCCTATGCTCCCTTCTAGGATTTTCATAGTTTCTAGTCTTATATGTAGGCTTTTTTTAAAATCCATTTTAACTTGATTTGTTGTGTATGGTGTAAAATAAGAGTCTAATTTCATTCTTTAGCATGTTGAAATCTAGTTTTTTTTAGTACCATTTATTGAAGATACTGTCCTTTTTCATTATGTCTTCTTGGTCTCCTTGACAAATATTAGTTGACCATATATACTTAGGTTGATCTCTAGGCTCTCTATTCTGTTCCACTGGTCTATATGTCAGTTTTTCTGCCCAGGACCATGCTGTATTGATTACTATAGCTTGTAATATAATTTTAAATCAGAAAATGTGATGCCTCCAACTTTGTTTTTATTTCTCAGAATTGTTTTGGCTATTCGAAATCTTTTATAGTTCTTTACAAATTTTAGGAATTTTTTTTATTTCTATGAATAATGCCATTGGAATTTTGATAGGGATTGCATTAAATCTGTATATTGTAGCCTGGTATAGTTACACACACCTGTAATCCCAGCTCTTTGGAAGGCCAAGGTGAGGCCAGGACTTTGACACCAGCCTGGACAACATAACAGTGCCACACACCCCAAGCGGGGGGACCCTGTGTATTGCTTTAGATAGTATAAACATTTTAACAATATTGTTTTATATCTTCTGATTTAGGAAAATAGGATATCTTTCCATTTATTTGTGTCTCTAATTTCTTTCATCCATCTTTTATAGTTTTTAGTGTATAGATCTTTCACCTTCTTGGTTAAATTTATTCCTAGATATGTTATTTTTACACTATTATAAATGAGATTGTTTTCTTAATTTATTTCAATTAGGTCATTATTTGTGTATAAAAATACTACTGATTTAAATATGTTGATTTTGTGTCCTGCAACTGTACTGAATTCATTTAGTTCTAACAAGTTTTTTTGTGTTGCATCTTTGGGCTTTTCTACAGATAGGATTATGTCATTTGCAAATAAAAATAATTTTGCTTGTTTTCTTCCTACTGGAAGGAATAGGAAGTATTCCCTTTTGTCTCTTTTTCTTGACTAGTTTCCCACTTCTTGCTTTTTGGAATCTTAGAAACTGTAGGCTTTTCATCTTTGCAAGGCCTTTGAATTTTGAGCCTGTCTCCACTTTTTAAAACTTATTTTTCCACTCTGAATTCGGTGAGGGAGTTCACCATGCAAATATTTGGGAAGAGTATTTCATATAAAGGGGAAATAGCAAGTACAAAGGCCTTGAGATGTGTCTGAAAAAGACTAAGGAGGCCAGAACGGCCAAGTGAACAGGGATGGAGCAGCAGGAGAGTTCAAACCGGTGAAGAAAAACCGACCACTTAGGGCCTTTGAAGTCATCGTACAAATTTTAGCTTTTATTTTTGAGTGAGGCCGAAGGCTTTGAGAAGGGCAATGACATAATCTGACTTACCAAAAAGTCACTCTGGCTGATATTTTGAGATGAGACTGCCGGGGAGTAAGGAAAGAAGGAAGAATACCAGAGAAGCGGGTATTGGGATCATTCAGGTGAGAGATGGTGTTGGTTGACTGGGAAGTGACAGTAAGAATGAGAAAAGGGAGTTAAATTCCGGATACTTTTTTTTTTGAGACGGAGTTTCGCTCTTGTTACCCAGGCTGGAGTGCAATGGCGCAATCTCGGCTCACCGCAACCTCCGCCTCCTGGGTTCAGGCAATTCTCCTGCCTCAGCCTCCTGAGTAGCTGGGATTACAGGCACGCGCCACCATGCCCAGCTAATTTTTTGTATTTTTAGTAGAGACGGGGTTTCACCATGTTGACCAGGATGGTCTCGATCTCTTGACCTCGTGATCCACCCGCCTCGGCCTCCCAAAGTGCTGGGATGACAGGCTTGAGCCACCGTGCCCGGCCCCCAGGATACATTTTAAAAGTAAAGCCAAGATGATTTGCTGAAATATTGAATGAGGGGCTTGAGAGAAAGAGAAGAAGGTTGGCAAAAAAGATTTTGGCTGGAGCATATGGAAGTTACCATTAATGAGATGGGGAAGACCATGGCAGAGCAGGATGAGAGAAATAGCAGGGAGCTCAGTTTTAAACCTGTTAAGTTAAGTATGCCCGTTCAATCGCCAAATGGAAATGTCAAATAGGCAGTGTGTACATTGGTGTGAGTTCAAGAAACAGATGGGAGTAGAGATACATGAATTTAGAAATCATCAGAAATGATGTGCTTAGGAGAATCAGTGCCATATTCTCAGTGTTTTTATATTAAGATAAAAGTTGTTCGTATATAATATTTGTATCTTTGGAATATTTATTTTGTACTCTTTTAATATATAGTAGATAAATTTATATAAATTTGTGATTTTAAGTTTATGCTGACAGATTATGTAATGTATTGACATAGGAGAAGTTAATCACATTTGTAAATTTAATGTATTAGGTACACATTACATAGTTTTAGTAATGTAGTAAGAATTTGTTTAGCCATTTTGATGGTACTAAAATCGTACTGTAATTGAAGGGCTTAAGAAATCAAATGTGTTAAGTTTACAAAAACTTAAAATGTCTGAAGGTACAAAATTAGTCACGTTTATAAATGAAACCAAATGTTCAGAACTCCTTAACACTGAGGGATTGCAAAATCCTGCTCAATTCATAGAGTAGGATTCATACACCGAGTTTGAATTCTGGGAATAACTGTATCTTCGAATCTGTAATAAATTACAGATTTACTTTTGAATCCAAAGTAAACTTCTGAACATTTCTTGCTATATAAATAGCTGTCATTATAGTCATTAAAATGTCAACAATTGAAATGATGCATTGTTGACACATTTTATTTTGTCTTGAAAGTAAAATAGTTGAATATTGGGAAAACATTTACTATTACCTAGACCAGCATATCTCAAACTTGCCTGGGCATCATCCACAATAATAAATATATTTTACCTTGTGAAACAATACACACACACACACACACACACACACACGTAAACAAAAACTTCCATGAAACACTGTGTACCTTACTAACTTTGACAAATCTACCTTTAACTATATATAACATGGATTTCACAGCCTACCAATGGGTCGTAACCCACAATTTGAAATTATTGATCTAAAGTAAGGCTACGCATTATAGGATTTTGAAAGAAGTAAATTAGAATTGCTTCTGTTTAAATAACTACAGTGGAACAAAGATGTTTACATACCATGAATGCGTATTTGTGTATTGCTTGGATAACAGTTTTAAACAGAAGTTTGCTGGTGAGGGTGTAGCCGTGATACACAACAGGTTCATGCTGGGCTCCATCCCAGCAGTCAATCTCCAAACAACGGCATCCTTTAACAAGGGCACTAGCAAAATTTAAGCAAAATAAAATGTTACCCCTGGACCATTAAAAATACATACCAAAGTCTTAAAGTATCCCGAAGACTTTCGATTTTATAATAAATGCATAAATGAGTCCATGACACTCTATAAAAACTTGTCTTTAAGACACGTTTTGCGTATCTGGAAATCTGCATTAAAAAGGAAGACAAAAGCTGTCTGTGTAGTACTTGACTGTGTCTTTCTTTCTAGGCAAATGTTTTACTCTCGTGCGCTCTCCATCCAAGGCTTGGTTTTCAGTAAGCAACGAAGATTCCTGCTCCGTAGTTGTAACTCTAAAACATCTCTACTCCCAACCCAGACAGTTTTGCTTATAGTGGCATTTACCGTTCAATGCGATACTGTTGAAAAGCAACAATGTTCAAAGCCCTCTCAGAATAGTAAGATAGATTAATACAATCTTATCTAATTCTTTTCTCATGTCAGGCTTTGGGGAATGGAGTAAATGGTAGGAAGGGAAGGACAAAGGAAAGATAAATTGTGACAGTACTTGCTCCCTGGACACAATGTTGGCTAGAGGGTAGGGAAACTAGAGGACCTAGCGAATCAGTTAATAATCCTTATCTCTCTAACCGTTTTACATAAGGCCATCTCTAATTGTAATACAAGTAAGTACTAGAGAAAATTAAATTTATGCAAAGGAAGCCTGGACATCAGCTAATCTATGTGTATTCGACTCATAATTTCACTGGGAAAAAAATCTGAGCTGACTGCCTCAGAATACAAGTTTACAGCTTTATCAAAACTGTGATTTCTGCTTCTGTTGATGTCTAAAACTGGGTCTGATTTTTCTACCTAAAAAATAAAGATCAGTTTCTTGATTTAGACATAAATTCTCTTAGGTTCATTAAATCAGTTGTACTCACTGGGTTAAAATTAATTCTCAGTGTTCATAATATAAGAGAGCGGTGACAGGATGCTTTATTAACACATATGCTTTGATTTACTCTGTGTCCGTTGAAGCTGATTGCATTCAGATTTTTCACTGACTTTATAATAAAGAATATAAGCAAACAGCGATGTTTCAGAATCTTCATACCCAGCCCAGAGCAGGCCACTGTATGCCATCATGAAATAGGTCATTTGCCCCAAACTACCAAGACCCAAGAGTTCCCTCAAATTGATTGATTGATTGATTGATTCCTGCAAATGTAGATATATCAATAAGATAATTCTTTGAATTATTTCACAGACACACACACACAGTTGTATAGTTGTTTCTATTATCTATGACCCTGGCCCGACATAGGAGCTAATATGTGCCAACCACAGACCAAGGATCAGCAACACTAGCATGAGGCAATGGTTAGTGCGGTTTCTACAAGAGCAGTGACTGAAATTTCAGTCTCATAAAACACGGTTGACAAACTGACTGTCGGTAAATATTTATTGTGTTTCTATGAGAAAAAGTGGGAACTGCAGAGATGTAAGAAGAAAAGTGGAAGGCAGAAAAATGTGATCTTCTAAAATGCAATCTTGGAAGAGACAAAACTGAATCAAAAGAACTGACTTGAAATTCCAGGATCTTAGAATCAATGTTCACACATTAGGAAAGAGGGTAAAAAGCTTCCTTGCCATACATAGAGATATTTTCCCATAGAAAACCAAGCTGACACATGTTTTCCAATAAGTATATTAAATTATCCCCCTGTCTACAGGCTGCTGGTGTTTCACTGGGACGAGTTTGCCTCACTGGAGGGATTTGGCAGTGTCTGGAGATATTTTCAGCTGCCACAACTGGAGATGGGGGAGGGTTGTAACCGGCATCTGGCAGGTAATGGTCACAGTGATACTAAGCATTCTGCGGGGCCCTGGACAGCCCCCGACAACAAAGAATTATCTGACTGATAAAGTGAAAAGTTCGAGAAACCCTGCCATAAATCATGATAACCTGGAGAAGAAAGTGTAGTCCCAGCACCAAGTACTTTATATAATCAGTAGTTTTTCCAAACAGAAGCACAGAGCACCAGATGGGTCCCATGAGAAAATGAACCTTTTAGATTTAGTTCTTCTTTAGAGGTCATATTTAGTCCCTTTCTAGGGAGATGACCCAGGAAGAACCTAGGTAGGAGCATAGCTGAAAACAGATAAAACAATTATGACACTAAGTCAACGTACTGTATTCAGGACTGCCTAAAATATAGCAGAGAGGGGGAGGGAGAGGGAGAGGGAGAGGGACGGGGATGGGAAGGGGAGGGGGAGGGGGAGGGGGGAGGGGGGGGGGGGAGGGGAGAGGGAAAGGAAGAAGGAGGGGGAGGGGAAGGGGGAAGGAGAGGGAGGGGAAGAGGGAGGGGGAGGGGAAGGGGGAAGGAGAGGGAGGGGAAGAGGGAGGGGGAGGGGGAGGGGAGAGGGAAAGGAAGAAGGAGGGGGAGGGGAAGGGGGAAGGAGAGGGAGGGGAAGAGGGAGGGGGAGGGGAAGGGGGAAGGAGAGGGAGGGGAAGAGGGAGGGGGAGGGGGAGGGGGAGGGAGGGTGGAAGAGGGAGGGAAAGAGGGAGGGGGAGGGGGAGGGGAAGGGGGAAGGGAAGGGGGGAGAGGGGGAGGGGAAGGGGGAGGGAGAGAGGAGAGGGGGAGGGGGGAAGGGAGACAGAGGGGAAAAGGGAGGAGGAGGGGAAGGGGGGAGGGGAAGGGGGAGGGGGAGGGAGGGGGAGAGGGAGAGGGAGGGGAAGGGGAAGGGGGAGGGGAGAGGAGGAGGGGAAGGGGGGAGGGAGAGAGGAGAGGGGGAGGGGGGAAGGGAGAGGGAGGGGAAGGGGGAGGGGAAGGGGGAGGGGGAGGGAGGGGGAGAGGGAGGGAGGTAGGGGGGAGGAGGGGGGAGGGAGGGAGGGGGAGGAGAAGGGGGAAGGGAGGGGGGAGGGGGAGAGGAGAGGGGGTGGGGGAAGGGAGGGAGGGAGGGCGAGAGAGAGAGAGAGAGGGAGAGAGAGAGACCTTACATACTCGGGAATAACAGAGATAAAAGATGGAGGAAACCTGAGAAGGAAGGCATTAAAGAAGGGAACTGGTGAATCACATCTATCTTAGAAGCTTCCCCAATAGCTTAATTGTGAAAAATTAAATTCTTAGTAAATTCTTTTGGGATGTTTAGGGGTTTTAAATTTTGCTCTGTTTTTTGGTTTTTGTTTTTTGGGTTTTGTGTGTGTGTGTGTGTGTGTGTGTGTGTGTGTGATGGGGCCTCTTTCTGTCACCAGTCTAAAGTGCAGTCTCAAAGTCCTAGGCATAAGTCACCGCCCCACATCAGCCTCCCAGGTACCTGGCCTACAGATACATGCTACCACACTTGGGTGACTTGCTTTGGCTTTTGCTGTTGTTGTTGTTTAAGTGCACAGTGCTTTATTTCAGCACGTGGCAATGCACTACAATGTAAAATTTCAGAGTTTTGTTAACTAATTGTCTCTACTGGAGAAATGGACCTAGAATACTCCTAGAGAAATCTTGTCTGGCCCATGGATATTGTCTGGACAAATAAGGTGGTCACCTAATCCTTGGCAGAAGTTTTAAATTTGGCTGTATTTGTAAAATTGCAAGTGAAGATATTTCTTGGCTTATGGATTTCTTTATGTATTTAGACTTTAAGATGGAGAAGAAGCAATGTTTATTTGTAAAGTTTCTTAATTTCCATGGAAGAATTTTGCTTTCCTGCCTGGTAGTTGATTACGACAGTGAATTGTCTTGCCTGTTTTTTCAACATAGAGTCTGAGTTCTCTGTAGCGCTGCCAGAAAACAAGCTTGAGCTTTCTACTTGGGTGATGGGAGGACAAACCACAAAGAACTATATTGTGAACCAAAACTTTTCATAAATACTATTGATTCTTGCTACTTTTTAGATGGTTTTAATTTTAGCCATGGGTCAAGCCAATCTTTATAAAATTGCATCTTCAGACTCCCTGGCTCGGTCCCCTGCAAAAATGTTTTAAGTGACTGCACAATGTCATACCAACCACTTAGGTGTGAAGGATATGAGAGAAAGGTTTATCTTCTCTGATGGTGCTGTGTAGCACACTCCATTATTTCACTTTGAGCCTCCTTTTTGGACACAAATAGAGAAAATTTCTCTCTCATTCACTACTGTTTTTTATGATCACTGTAAACCTTATAACTAATCCTGTTTCTCTCTTGGCTTTGGCTGCTAGGAAACTTACAGGTGATATTCTCCATGCATTTTAGAATTTATACAGAACTTTATGGTATGAAATTTCCACTCTTAACTTTATTTCATCTATTTATCTCTAGATTTCCTTCAAACACTTCCTATAAACTATCAAGGTATAAAATATTATAATTTTTATTGCAATTTATTTAGATTGTATAATGTTATTATTTTCTATTTGAAGTTGAATTTTAACTGGTAATAAAAATAAATTTAAGGACTTTTTGGTAGATTAAAATATTGAATGCTACAGCAGTAATATTCTTTTTCCTTTTGTAAATATGAGGAAACTGAGATACACAATGGTTTTATCTGTCACAAAATTAACAGATGAGGAAAAGGGAAGAAATATGAGCACTAGAAACTTAAATACTGATGTTTAAACACTATATTATGCCACTAGTCATGAGGAAAAATATTTTGAAAGACTTTCATTCTAAGCATGTATCTTCAAAAGGTGGAAAAAGAGACAGAGAAAAGTACAATTAAATTTAAATGTAAATTTGCAGTTGGGTGAACCATTTTCTTGTAATTCAAAAGTAATTATATATATTTCTAAATATAACTGCTTTAATATTTATATTTTCTCTCTTTAAAAAATTAAAATAACAAAAAATGAACAGAAATTACTATAATGAAATTATAGCTACAAATTGGGCTATCTTTACAGAATTCTAAATGAATACATTTCCAAATGTATGAATTTCTGTCTTTAGTTAGATTTGAAATTAGAGAATCAGCATATTTATTTGTAAGTTTGGTATTATTTCAGAATTATAAGATATCTTTTCTATTGATGGTTTTACCTTAAGTAATCCCATCTAATCATTTGGTTTTAAATATCCCATATATGTTGATAACTTCCAATTCCACTTTTCCAATCTGATAACTTCCGAATTCCCCACACATATCTCATAGATGAGATACTGACTATCTCATCTAGCCATTTGGTAACTAATTGGTATCTTGAACTTAACATGGAAGCCACAGAATTCTTGCATGTTACCTCACACCCTACATCAGGCTTCTCTTTTGGGCTTCCCCGTCTCATGCAACAGTATCCCTGGTTAATGGGATGAAAATCTTGACTCCTCCCTTTCCCTTACATCTCTCTTCAAATCACCTGGTCAGTCATGTTGGCTCTGCCTCCTAAAATTACATGGTCCCCAACATATGATGATTTGACTTATAATTTTTCAACATTATGATGGTACACAGACAATATGCATTCAGAATCACACTTCAGCTTTTGAATACTGGTCATTTCCCAAGCTAGCAATACTCTGTATGAGATACTCTGTCGCAAGATGCTGGGCAGCAGCAGTGAGTACAGATCCCACTCAGCCACATGATCACAACGGTAAGCAACCAAGATTCTAAAGTGTCCTGTGTGGCCAGTTTTTGGGGTGCTTTTGGAGCGGGGATATGATTTAGCCTCACTGTAAGCTAGTATAAGTGTTCTGAGCACATTTAAAGTAGGCTTGGTTAAGTTCTAATGTTTGGTAGGTTAGATGTACTAAATGCGGTTTTCAAGTATTGGGATGTAACCACATCGTAAGCTGAGGAGCATCTGTATCTCAAATTCAACCACTGATCATCTCAGCTGCCACCTCATCTGTAGCCATCATCCATACCACCTGCACTGCTACACCAGCTTCCCAAATCATCTTCTACCTGCACTCTGGCCTCATCAGCCATTCCTCCACATTACTGAGTAAATCAAATTATGACACTATCTTAAAGAAAATCCTTCTCAGTGCAGCTGGAATAAAATCTATTCTCCTCTCCATGTTCTACGAGACCCTCATAAACTGACTCTACCTCCTCCTCAAACTCATCTCCCTTCTTTCACCGTTGACTTGTCTCCAGCCATGCTTGCCATTTTTCTCTCATTTAAACAAGCCATGCACTTGTTCTGTTTAACATGACCTTTCTTTTACATCTTTCCAATGTTTCCTCTATCATCACTCATGCCACAACTATTTAATTTCACCTCTTGACTTTTCTGACAACTTTACCCTAAGTAATACCCTCACAGTCACTTTCTATCACATTACCTTAGTTCGTCTTCTCCACGTGATTCATTCGTCCTTGAATATATATATATATAATATATATATAAATATTATATATATATATATATTTTTTTCTTTTGAGACGGAGTTTCGCTCTTGTTACCCAGGCTGGAGTACAATGGCGCAATCTCGGCTCACCACAATCTCCGCCTCCTGGGTTCAGGCAATTCTCCTGCCTCAGCCTCCTGAGTAGCTGGGACTACAGGCATGCGCCACCATGCCCAGCTAATTTTTTGTATTTTTAGTAGAGACGGGGTTTCACCATGTTGACCAGGATGGTCTCGATCTGTTGACCTCGTGATCCACCCGCCTTGGCCTCCCAGAGTGCTGGGATTACAGGCATGAGCCACCGCGCCCGGCCTGAAAATATTTTTTACCTGGTCATTATCTATCTGCTTGTACACAGATGAGTGTAGCATGTGTATACCTATGTAACAAAGCTGCACATTCTGCACATGTACCCCAGAACTTAAAGTATAATAAAAAAAGAAATTAAATACCTTACATATCCCCAAAGGTCACTTGGTCCCACTAACTGACCAGATACCAAATACGTGTTATGTGAGGATGAAATAAAATAATCATTTAATGGATGAGTCATATCTTGATAAACTTTTCTACATTCATTTTTAAATAGTAGACATTCAGATGAATCCATGTATCTTGTAAAACCTTCAAATGACATTTGGCGTGCTTTCCTAACTAAAAAGAGAAAATAAAATAAGTTAAAAGAATGTAAAAATATCATTAGCAAGATAAAAAAAAACACATCTCACTTGTAAACTTAGTAGTAGGGCATGTTTCTAAAATAGTTCTTTAGAATTAGTATTAATACTCTATGTTGTTTGGGAAAAAATTTGTAGTAAAACCTTTAGTTCTTCCATACTAACATTCAAGTAAAGAATATTCTAATTATATCTGATTTTTTTAAGTTTTGAAAATACACACAAGAAAAGTACGTAGATTATAGACCAATGAGCTCCCACAAGCTACACATCTGGATAACTGGAACACAGGTCAAAGAACTTTCCAGTCACCACACCCACGTACATCCGCTGGTTTCACCTCTAAGAGCACACATTAGCTTTCTTGGGTTGTTGTGCTTTAACTGACTCAGGCAGTATGTATTTTTTGCCCCTGGTTTCTTTTACTCAACATCATGTTTCAAAGATTTATTCTTGTAGTTGCATGTAGTTATACATTGCTCATTCCCATTACTTCACAGTATTTCATTGTATGAGAATGCCACGATTTATTTATTCCTTTTATCACTGATAGGCATTTAATTAATTTCCTGTTTGGGGCTATTGCAGATAGTACTGCTAAAAGTAACAAGTGAATGTCTTTTGGTGCAAATATATACACATTTCTGTACGGTGCAAGTCTAGGAACGGAATGGCTGGGTCATGTGCATGTGATCGCCTTTAGTAATTAATCTCTGAACTTTTTCACTCACTATGAGATGTACTAAAATATGAATTTAAGCAGAAGACTGTTTAAGACTGGCTCTGGAAACAGACAGCCTGGACTCGTATACAATTTAACTTGTTATATGACCTTGAGCATGTTAGCTAAGCTCTCCCTATCTGTGGAATGGGGGTAATAACAGGATCTACCCTTATATATTAACTCTATAATTATTAGTTGCCCTTATTGCTATTGATAGTTGATTTTGACCAAAAAGAAAAGGAGACATGAGCATTTACTTAATTAGAATGTGATCTTTGGCAGAGAATTTTATTTCCAGGAATTTATCTTTTAGAAGCAGAGACTCAGACAGTGATGTACAAGAATGCTCACATTAGCATTATTTATAAAAGCGACATAAGTGCAAGAGAATAAACAAATTAAAGTCCAAAATATGATATAATACTAAGCAGCCATTAAGAATAATGTATCATAAAAATATAGTGACATAAGTAAATGTTTATGACATTGTAAAAGTGAAAAAGACAGCATTCAAAATGCTATTACTATTTTGGTTTAAAAAAATAAAAGCTAGAAGAAAATACATAAAATTGTTATAGGCATACAAAGCCTCTATTTCAAATGCATGTAAATGTAGGAAGACAGAAGTGTATGGAGCACATGAATGATGCATTGTAACAGTACTGACTTGCATACATTTATGATTTTTCCCTGTTTAATTAGCAGTAATTGGCTTAGCCCTTTTGAACTATTTAATAATTAAATAAATATCTTCGGTAATGGAATAGAAAATAAACTCATTTTGTCCCCTTAAAAATACCAGTTTGAAGTGAGGATTAATCACATGGATTTTTAAAAACTTCATTTGCTACATGTCACGTACCAATGAGGGATGAGGCTGAGGAGCTTGGTAGCATTTGGAACTTGAAGATCATAATTGAAATTGGCTTTGATAAGACACAGAAGTGATCAATAATCATGTAAATGAAATGCAAGGTCTTGGCTGTGTTTGAGAGTATTTGAGGCAGGTGAAGGCTCAAAAGAGGAATGGATGAACAGTGTAACATCGTAGTTAAAATGCAAACACAATTCCCAAGTGTCATTGCCACCATCCCAATATCTCATTTGTATCTTTTAATTTACCACCTGAAGTTGACAGTGCCAGAGTAATTTTTTTGGTAATATTCTCTAGATCAGTGCTACTGAAAGTGCTCATCTGTAAACTGGTTGTTTCCAGTTGGCAATGACATAAAGAGCTTGAGCCAGAACGCAAATCAATGCACTACTTCCTTAGAGAAAGTCTTGCTATTTTTGAAAAAAAAAAAAAAAAAAAAAAGTCAGCTGAACTCATCAGGTCTGCTTAGTGATCAGTATGTATGTACTACATTCACTTAATATTCTGGGGCAAGCTCTTTACCTTGCTGCAAACCTGCAAAAGTTTACTGGTGCTCAGACCAAATTGTCACGAACACTGCACTCAATCACGCCACTCCAGTGCTGAAAACCCTCCAAAATCTTTGCATGGCAGTGAGTCATGAAGCCAAAATCTTAATTATGGCCGACGAGAAATTATATGGTTTGATCGCTGCCAGTCTCTCCAAACTCATTTCCCACTCATTCTCAAAGCTCTAACCTCACTGTCCTCCTTCTGTTCCTTCAGTTCTTCACCTCAGGTCCAGTGCTTCCCTTTCTTGGCCCTTAGACACTTCCATTTGGTCACATAACTTATCTGTTCTTGCCATTTAAGTCTCAGCTCAGATCTCACACTCTCAGAGAGGATTATCCTGAACACCCAACCTGAACTAAGCTTCCCAGGTCCTTCATTCTCTGTCGCCTTCCCTGCTCTACGTTTCCACTGTCACTTAGCACTCTCTTCAGTTATCTGACATGCTTCATTATTTACCGTCAGCTTTCCTCCAGCCCAGCAGGAATTCAAGACCTAACTGCCTTGTTCTTCCCTATAGCACCAGCCCCCAAAACCATACTTGGTTACTACAGATAAATATTTGAATAAATTATGAATGTATGGTCCAATGCAGAAATAAAATTGGTTTTGTTAGAACGTACATTATCATGTGTTAAACACTGGTGGCCTGAGCCAACTTTCAGAGGCAAAACTTGAACTTTCAAAATGAATTTTTTGAGCTGTCGTATCAGTTGATTTCTGTAAGGTTAAACATTGTGCTTTAACAATGTTTTGGTACAATTATATGAATATTTATTGTATTACATATTTATTATTTTATTTCAAAATGAACATAAATGAAAAACTGTGAAGTGTTTTTACCCATTGAAAGATGGAACAAAGATCTCAAAATCTATGACAGATCATTAGCCTAAGTAGTCACCAAATCACTTAGTGTTCAAAAATGAAGAAAAAGCAAAAAATATATATATTTATGAAATGTTGTAGATAATTATATTTATAAACAAAGGAAAATTAATCATTTTGTAATACTTTGTTCTTAGAATTTTTTTCATTTAGCTCAATCTTCACACATATTTTCAACAATATACTGCATGAAAATGGAAAACCACCTATAACTGAAGTTTTATCTTATTCATGAGATCGAGATACTTTCTTCTTCTAGTAGGTACATGTAATAGAATCGTTGTCTTGTTTTCACCTCTAAGCTCGTTTCTGAACACTTGAGAGATACATGAAAGCAGTTAAAAGAAAGAGCTGGACAGTGTGTAGGAAAGGATGTCATGGTTACACAGTACAACGTTTTAAAAGGTAGTAGAAATTCTATAAAATATATTTTCCCAAGGAAATTTTACCCATTCAAAAACTATAATTTGATAACCATAATTTGTAAAAATACTTTGCATTAAAATTTTTTTAAAAAAAAGAAAAAATACTTCACACATAAATATTCTGATAAAACTTTGAAATGCAAACATACCTTCTTCAATAGGCTCATATTTCTGAATGATCTCAAAAGCAATAGTTTGGCTCATCTCAACTGTATATTGTTCTTGTATCAGAAATTGAACCAGATTATATTCTGAAAGAATTTTCCGGTTTTCAGAATACGCGTTGAAAATCTCAATAATTTCTTCTCTGTGTGCAATAATTCGATAAATGGCTCTAAATTCTTCTATGGTGATTCTTCCTTGTTTCAGCTTGTCATTGTCCTACTGAAAACAATGACTGGTGGGCTCACATTGTGAGTATAAACAATACATAAGTGAACATCAGAGTATTTATGTACTATATAATAATTATACTCGAAAGAAGATGAAACTTACATTAGATTCTTATTGAAGATAAAATACATAAAACTGCACTGAGTGATGTCAAAATTGGGAGTTAGTTGACTCTTGAAACCCACTGGTTACAGGGATGGAGAAAGGAGTGTGGGAGAAAATGAGGATTCCAGGTTGTCATTCAATTGCACATTTCATGTTTGTATTCTGTATTACTTCACTTCTTTCATAAAACCTTACCAGGCAGTGTGTAATCTCATGCCACTGGTGTATAGCCTGACCATATATGTCAGAGTGAGTCAGACACATTCAGCATCACTGTAAACTACAGAGCAATACCTTGAAGACGTGGAGTCAGTAACCATTAAAGAATTTGGGGCAGGTACAAACAAGATGAGTTCTGATAAGAAAGAGTGGATTAAAAAGTTCATATTTGAGCTTTATTAGAAAAGGCAAGAAAATAGGCTGGGTCCAGTTATTAAAAGTAACAGAACAACGTGGATTTCTCAACAGGAAAATGAATAGCAAAAATAGAAGATTGGTTTGATTAGTTGAAAGACATGGAGAACTGCAGGTAAGAGAGCAGATAAGATGAACTTGAAGTGGGAGGTGGAGAATAGATGCTAAAGAACAGATCTCACTGAAGTGACGAAGGGGGAATTCAGGAAGATTCAATACATTGAAATTGTCGACAAATGAGATAAAGAATTCAGGAATGGCTGGGGTCAGGGAGCGTTAGAAACACTGTAGCATTACTAACAAAAAACTGGGAAACTGGCAGTTCAGCTTAGAGGGAGATTTAATTTGTAAAAAAATAGTTTTTTATAACATCTTAACTCTCTTGTTACATTGTAAACAGCTCGAATATGAGAAGCACGTGTTGACAGGACATTGTATCATGGTGGGATCTGTGGTTGTCCAATCAGATGCTGGGTCTCCAGAGCTTATTAAACAACCATAGGGCCTTAAAATTATGTAGTCTTAAAGTAATTCATGCATATTGTTAATTATCTTAACTAACATGGTTCAACTTACTGTTTTTTAATTCTGGATTTGGAGGTCCATGGAAATGGATGTTATAGAATTCATTTCATTTTAGCCTTGTCCCACTCTTTATTTGTCATAAATCTTAAGCAAGTCAGTAAAAGTTTAAAATATGCCTGTAATTCCTGATAATTTTGGTTATAGGAAATTATATAAATAAAAAATTATGCTTCTACTGAATAGCAGCATAAAATAAAATATACATTATTCACTGAGTAATGAAAGTTTTATTACTTTCAAACAGAGTATAAGCTTGGTCATCTGCAATGTCCTGATAATTTGTTTTGTCTCATGTCCTTCTAGAAGGTCAAAGTTACCGTCTTATACTAAAACAATTTGGAGACATAAAGTCCAAACAAAATTCCACAAATCCAAAGAATTGCTATAATTGATCAAAATCAAAGAATTGAAAGTGAAATATTAATCAAATTATTGAAAAATGAAACCCACACAAAATAGTGAGAGTTGTGTCACTGAAGAAGGGAAGATCTAATTTTAGTAGAAAGAAAAGGAAAAGGAAAGCAACAAGGAGCAAATAATGATGGGGAAGAAAAACAGGACATGGTAGCATCCTGATCAAGGGGAACAGGGAGAAGAAAAGCAATGACAAAGAAGATGCGATTTGAGTGCTGAGGCACGTGGTAGCAGCTCAGACTGCCGATGTATTAGTCTACCCTATAAAAGAAAACTGAGGCTCAAAACTCTTAGGTAAATTGTCTCCAGCCCCACGGGGAACCAGGATTTTTAACTAACTCTAAGACCACCCAGAGGAGGAGCTGGAAGAAAGAAAGTCAGTATATCATTACACAGATTAACAGTATATATGCAGAAATAAATTCTGTAAAATGAAAATCTGAGCATCTCACCTCTGTCTTAAAGTTCTCAGTGTACCTCCTTTGTCTTCAAGACAAAACCCCAACTGTACTGTGTAGCGTCTAAGGCTGTCTAACACGTCACGATGATTTCTGCTCTTACCTTTCCTCCTTGCACCTCACACTTCAGGTGCTCTGAATCAGCTGCAGCTCAGGTACCAACCATCTCTTGCTATGGTACAGATTTTTTTTTCTTTCTCGAATATCCTTCTTTCTTTTTAAGTTACCAATTTCTGCGAATCCTTGAAAAAGTGTCACCCACTCAAGAAATCTCCCCTGGGTCGCGTCCTGTGTCTCCTTCCCAGGTTGCATTAGAAAGATACCCTTTCTCTGGGTTCTTAACAGACTCCACTTTCTTCTCTCAGAGGGCTTATTAAATTGGAATGACAGTCGTTTTCTATATTCGTTCTAGAATTGCCTTAGAGAGTGAGTTTGTCATTTGTTTCTTGTGTCCTCGGGTCTTACAAAAGTGCCTGACTGAAGACATTCAGAATGTGGCCTACCACCCAAACGGTGTTATGAATCTGATGAAATCACTGCATTTAGACAATAATTAGATGTTAAGTATCTCCCTAACTTAAGGAGGATAGGAAAAGAGATTTAAAAATGCATGTTCCAGAAGATATGCAAAATCTCAGGCCCCACCTCGAGATTCACCACCGTCTTTAAAATGTTTCATATTAATCATTAAAAGTATAACATAAAATAAGACTAATAAAACCATTTTTCTCCTGTTTAAAAAAAGTGATTCTTTGCAAAGCATTACCAAAAGCATTTTCCCAACAATTCATTCGATGTCTTGTATATTTAAAAACACACCATATACTTCAAGACCATGAAAATCCTGAAGGTAGATAATTTTATTCTTTTTATTCCCAGTGCCTGCCACTGGACCTACCCTAGAGCAGGAGTTTAATTACTATACTTTTAAATGAATTGCTGAATAAACCAGGAAAAAAGAATACAAAATAATTCTATTCATAGTCATTTCAACCTGGCAGGGGGGATGCCATGATCATGACGGTGGTTTTTCCCAGGGTGAGGCTTATCCATTGCACTCCGGATGTGCTGGCCCCTGCGATTTCCCCAAACGTGGAAAACTCAACTGCATAACTTGTGATAGTGGGGGACTGCGTTCACACTTTCCCCTGGAAAATTTTTTTTTAAATAAAAAAATGCTAGTCATTTCAAGTGTACACTTTCAGAAAACAGAATGAACGCTTTCCATGTTGTCACCATTTTCCATTTCCAGTGCCCGGTTTGCTAGTAAAAATATGAAATGTTACTTAAATAATGTGATGAGAAAGCTGATTTGTCAAAACAGAATTTATTTTTTTCATTATATTTTAAGTTCTGATGTACATGTGCAGATCCTGCAGGATTGTTTATACACAGCCCATGGTGATTTGCTGCCTCCACCCTCCCGTCACCTACATTAGGTATTTCTCCTAATGTTATCCCTCCCCAGTGTCCCCACCTCTTGCTTTCCCTCCCTTAACCCCCACCCCACAACAGACCCCAGTGTGTGATGTACCCCTCCTTGTGTCCATGTGTTCTCATTGTTCACTACCCACTTATGAGTGAGAACATGCAATGTTTGGTTTTCTATTCTTGTGTCAGTTTGCTGAGAATGATGGTGTCCAGCTTCATCCATGTGCCTGCAAAGGACATGAACTCATCATTTTTTATGGCTGCTATTCCCTGGTGTATATGTGCCACATTTTCTTTATCCAGTCAATCCTTGATGGGCATTTGGGTTGGTTCCAAGTCTTTGCTATTGTAAACAGTGATGCAATGAATATACATGTGCATGTGTCTTTATAATAGAATAATTTATAATCCTTTGGGTATACCCAGTAATGGGATTGCTGGGTCAAATGTTATTTCTATTTCTAAATCCTTGAGGAATTGCCACACTGTCTTCCACAATGGTTGAACTAATTTCCATTCCCACCAACAGTGTAAAAGTATAAAAGTGTTCCTATTTCTTCACATCCTCTCCAGCATCTGTCATCTCCAGATTTTTTAATGATCACCATTCTAACTAGCATGAGATGGCATCTCAATATGGTTTTGATTTGCATTTCTCTAATGACCAATGACAATGAGCCTTTTTCATATATTTGTTGGCCACCTGAATGTCTTCTTTTGAAAAGTGTCTCTTCATATTCTTCACCCACTTTTTGATGGAGTTTTTTTTTCTTGTATATTTGTTTTAGTTCTTTGTAGATTCTGGATATTAGCCCTTTGTCAGATAGGTAGCTTTCAAAAATTTTTTTCCATTCTGTTGGTTGCCAGTTCACTCTAATGATTGTTTCTTTTGCTGTGCAGAAGCTCTGGAGTTTAATTAGATCCCATTTGTCTATTTTGGCTTTTGTTGCCATTGCTTTTGGTGTTTTGGTCATGAGTCCTTGCTTATGCCTATGTCCTTAATGGTATTGCCTAGCTTTTCTTCTAGGGTTTTTATGGTGTTAGGTCTTATGTTTAATCCATCTGGAGTTAATTTTTATATAAGGTGTAAGGAAAGGGTCCAGTTTCAGCTTTCTGCACATGGCTAGCCAGTCTTCCCAACACCATTTATTAAAGAGGAAATCCTTTCCCATTGCTTATTTTTGTCAGGTTTGTCAAAGATCAGATGATTATAGATGCATGGCTTTACTTCCAAGGCCTCTGTTCTGTTCCATTAGACTATATCTCTGTTTCAGTACCAGTATCATGTTGTTTTGATTACTGTAGCCTTGCAGTATAATTTAAAGTCAGGTAGCATGACACCTCCAGCTTGGTTCTTTTTGCTTAGAATTGACTTGGCTATGCAGGCTCTTTTTTGGTTCCATAAAAAATATAAAACATTTCATGAATTTGCATGTCATCCTTTTGCAGGGGCCACGCTAATCTCTGTATCATTCCAATTTTAGTATATGTATCATTCCAATTTTAGTATATGTATCATTCCAATTTTGCTGCTGAGGCGAGCACAAAACAGAATTTACTTTTAACATAAGATACAGCATTTTAAAGTTGGTTGTATCTAAAATGACACTAAAAATAAAGCCTAATTAAATTCAAATTATAGTACAGGAAATGATATCACTTGCCACTTTCTTTTTTCCCAAACTCTGACACTAAATTGTTTGACAATTTTGTCTTTTTCCTTTTATTCTGCCCTTTTCTCCTTAACTAATACATGAGTCAGATACTATACTGGTTAATAAGGATGCAAAAGTAACACATTGTTAGCGCCCTCTTTGAAGCATAAAGTCTAGAAAAAGAAAGTAGGCATGCAAGTGTATAGGTGCCAAAATGTAAACTTCGTAGCTGAGCACAATGGCTCACACCTGTAATCCCCAAGCTTTAGGAAGTCAAGGTGGGAGGATCACTTGAGGCAAGAGTTTGAGACCGGCCTAGGCAACATAGTGAGACCTGTCTCTAAATTTTAAAAAAACAATAATAATTAGCCAGGTGCATTGGTGCCTGCCTGTAGTCCCAGCTACTCTGGACACTGAGGGAGGAGGATCCCTTGGGCCCAGGAGTCCAAGGCCCCATTAGCTATAATCATACCACTGCATTCTGGCCTGGATGACAGAGAAAGACCTTGTCTCTACTTTTTTTTAATTTTAAAAATAATAAATTTTATTGACAATGGACACAATAAGGAAAGTTGGACAATTCTTCCTGGAGGGTCAAAGGAGAATCTTTATAGAAAAAGTGATCCTGGAGCTGAGTCTTCAGAGATGAGAAGGAAGATGTTTGCCTGAAATCAAGGGGGAAATGAGCTAATTCTACTTGTTAAGATCAGAGCAAATGAAGGTACAAAGTACAAAACAGAGGAGTGTAATTAGAGAGAATGTTAGTGAAGCTGCGGGAGGAGATAAGGCAAGAGGTACAGCTGAATCCCAGGGGTCCTCGGAAGTCACACTGAGAAACTTGGACTTCATTTGGAAAGAACAAGGAGTTATTGATGAGTTTTAAGGAAGAAATCACGTAGATTTTTGTTCTAGAAAGATTAATCTGGCAGCAGTATAGAAGCTAGGTGTTGGGATTAAAAAACAAAAAAAGACAGTCCGTAGGGTTTGTCCAACTTTGATGTACATATGAGTCACCCTGGGACTTGTTGAAATGCGATCAGCATCATTTCTGGTCTGAGGACCACAATGAGTAGTAAGTAGTTCAAGAGCAATTGACTTGGTAGACCTAAAAAGATAGGCCAGAGGAGGAGTCTGAAAATCTGTTTAATTTCTGCTTGGATAACTGAGAGAATGGTGCTGCTATCCCCAAGCAAAGAAATAGAGGAGGAAAATAATTTTAGATGGAAAGAAGAGTTTCACTTTAAACATAATAAATTTCAAGTACATCCGAGACACCTAAGCAGAGATGGCCAGTAGGCAAATGGCTTTGGGGTAGGGATAGAGGAAAGCAATACGCTACAGAAGAGAGTACAATAGGAACTTTGGAGTCAGATAGACCCAGACATGAGTTTCTACTGTTATGTGACATATGAAGAAATTATATCAACATTCTTATGCTCAATATCCTTATGTGTAAAAAGAAGCTAATAATAACTTCCTTACATGCTTTTAATAAAATGGGAACAAAACCTAATCAGTGCCTAGATTATGGCAGATGATGGACAAATGGTACCATTTCCATGTCTTTGAGGTTCAGGATAGAAAAGCTGGGACTTTTCCTATTTAAGAAGTAGCTGTTGAGAGTCAATAAGATAGTTCAGGAAACGTTTGTAAAGTAAAAATAAAGGAAACAAAGAGCTCCACTTTAGGAGGATAGTAGCAGGAATGGTCACAGGACAGAAGGAGAAGGAGTGGTCACAGATTTTCAGAGAAAATTGGGAGAGAATGACGTCATAAAAGTCAGAACAGGGATTTTTAAAAAGAGGGTTGAGTGAAAGGCACAGAGAGGCTAACCAGTGGATTTAGCATTTATGACCTAAAGAGATTTTCAAGATAGGTGTGAAAGCAAAACGGATTGCAACAGATCATTGAACAAGTCGAGAAATAAATGTAAATGATTCTTTAGGGTTATCTGTTAAAACAGACAATGTGACATTAGAAGAGGATATGGTGCTAATTTTTAGATAGACTTTTTTGAAGTTTACACTGTGGAGGACCAACTAAGGTAAGAAACCATAAACTTTAGGTGGAACCCACAGAGTATAAGTGTCTGAGTTGATTCCAGGTGGCAGATTCATAGGGCAGAGTCAGTAGAGAAATAATGTATCTCTCTGAATACCAGCTTCGAATCCATTCTAACTAGTGCCAGGTTATTTATCTTAAAATACGTAGTATTTCTTTACTCAAGAAATTTCAGTGAGTACCCCTTGCCTACAAAGGGAAATCCAAATTCCCTGGTCTACTATTGGAGGTTTCCGTGGTCTGTCTGTAATTGTCAGTTGCAACACTTCTTACCACGTCCTTTCATGCATTCTCTACTCCAGTCAAGTTTAATTGCTTTCTATTCTCCGTGCACTCTTTCCACGTACTCCACATATGTTGCTGCTTATTTTTTAAGGGCCAGCAAGAATGCCACTTCCACCATGGCATCTCCTATTAAAGCCCCAATTAAATAGTCTCTTCTCAGATTCCCTGTTTGCATTACCCATGAGATTTATAAGCTACTTATAAAACAGTAATTTCTGCATTCCTTTTTCTGCCTAAAAAAGAGAGATAACTTTATTCATTTTCTACAATTCACAGTTTCCGACAGAGTGTCAGCACATACTATAGATTTAATACTGGTTATTAATTCCTTAGAGAATTCGAAGACTTAGGGCAAATCCTGTTTTTAAAAATCCCAAAATTACAAAGGATACTCTTTCATACTCAACCAACAATCAAAAGTGTAATCTAACAATATTTTCTATAAAATATTTTAAATGCTATAAAGACTATTGCAAGATAAAAGCAATACTTTTTTTAACTAGAGGGATTTAATAAATCTTAGAGAATTGCTGCTCAAGCCATGAATCAATAATTAATCTTGTAGAAAGAAGTGCAGAATATATTGCCAAGATCATAAAGTCATATTTTCTTTACTCAAATTTATAATAAAATGTCACCTTGTAAGAAAATAAATTCGTGTCAGAATTTATCAGCAACTTAGAAAATGAATAAATGTAATTCAATTTTGTATATGTAACTGACGCAGCTTCCTTCTACATATATCTATTGGGCACCTACCTTGCGTCATGCCTGCTACTAGGTACATTCATACACAGATCTTATTTACTATCCGCAACTATCATGTGAGGGAACTATGCTAGGAGCCCCATTCTATGGATTAAGAAATTTGCTCAAGGAGACTTTTAACTTGCCAAGTACTAAACAGCGAGGATCGGATCTATTAGAGCCAAGAATTTCTAGTGCTCTAAGACACTAGAATACTTTGGTCACCAAAGATTTATAAGGACTAATTTTATTTACTCTTGCAAAAGGTGCATCCATAAAGTGAGACAAAATTAGCAACAAGCGTTGAAGCAAATGAGTTGAATGTTAAGAAGTTTAATTTTCAACTATCATAAAATACAGTTAACCAATACACCTTCTTAATCAACGTTTTAATGCATATATGGCAATTTAGCCTGAGGTGATAAAGTTTTATATAAGTGGGTCCAGAATTATTTTAACAGATAAGAATAGTTTATCATGATTATCAGCCTTGTTTTATGTGATTTATGCTTCTAAAGTACTTACAGTTATTTTAAGGAGGTTTTTGAAGTATTCTTAGCAAAATCTGCCTCTCTAATTTTTATAATTAGCGTTATTTTCATAGCCACTCCCAAAAGGCTTTGCTTAACAATAGATCTTAGATCTTCAGGCCTGCTCATGTCCCTAATCATACATTTCAATTAGTGAACCATTTCTGTGCTTTTGCAATGGTTGAGAGTTCTGCATAATGCTTTTCGATACGGCATGTATTTCACTAACTTCACTCCACCTTTCTCTGCCCTGAAGAGAATGTAAAGCAACCTGATAATCACTGAATAATACTTACAAAGTTTCACATTTGATACAGATTTCAATATATTACGATCTTTATTTTGTCGTTAAATTTTATTAAATCGGGAAGCAATAGCTTTTCTCCCTTTGGAAGATACTACCGGAGGAAGAATCCTACACGTAGAGACTTTTATAAAAACTTGTATTCTTCGAATGTGCTATTAGCCATGAATTGATTAAAATTCTGTTAGCTTATGGACACTGACTGGATTCAAAGAAACAATTCTGAAACGTTTACCTTCAGTGCAGTCTCCTGAGAAGCACAGCTTTTCCTTTCTAACCTCCTTTTTGTGGTTTGTAGGCTTGGGGGCTAAGTCTTACTGAGAGAAGTGGTTGTTATTAGACGATTCTCCATAGGTCTCTTGTGTTTCTGTGTGTTTTCTAAGCAGAAGTATTCATTGTCTTTCTTCCATACTAGATTTTCAAGGATGTTGGAATAGCGAAGAGCTTTGGTAAAGACAGGGTCTCCTTCCAGAGAAGAAAAGCAGTTTGGTTTACTGCTCGCTATAATAATGATAATGACAGTCTACAGGGCATCAGGTGGGCTTCCTGCCCACCATCAAAGACCCAGGTTTAGGCTATGGTACCTGTTCTATAACACAACCCACTGCGTGTCCCTTGTTCTCTTCGTACCACACTTTAAAACCTGGGGCTTGGGGAAATAACACTAAAATGTGAATACTCTGACAACCGTCATTTCTGTGAGTAATAAGCTGTCTCTTTCCTTTGACCCACAAGCCTGCTTCCACTGGCTTCCATGAAGCTGCCTCGGGCCAATTTGTTAGCTTCCAGGGAAGGTGTCATGTCAGACCCTTCCCAGTTTGTGTCACCAATAACAACTTCAACACAGATTGTGCTACCTGAGTACTCACGTTCAAAAAACACAATAGTACGCGGATTTTAATGCTCCTGACAACCTGGATCGGTCAGTCTAGCTCTCCTGCCTGATTCTCCAAGACATTTGTCATTGTCCTAGGATAAAACTCAGCTGAAATGGCTTTTCCTAATGTAATTAATGATCCTTCTGTCGTCTAGTCACAGAACTGAGCCAGGTTTCCCTCCTACCAGTTCGTCTTCAAACAAAGATAATTTTTGGATGATTTTCTTTTAGGGAGTAAGCAAAATAAAATGTTTTCAGATTACATATTCCTTCTTAGTTTTTAAAATCCCTTTATTGGGGTAAAATTGACATACAAAAAACTATACATATTTAATTTCTATGCAACTTGATGAGTTTGGAGTTAAGTATACAGCCATGAAATTATCAACACAAGCTATGAAATTATCTTCATTCATAAACATATCCAATCCTTCAAAAAGTTTCCTTCTGCCCTCTTTATTATTTTTTCCCCACAGTGTCTCCCTTTGTTACCCAGGCTAGAGTGCAGCAGTGCCAGGCTCACTGCAGCCTCTATCTCCTGAGCTCAAAGGATCTTTCCACCTCAGTCTCCCAAGTAGCTGGGCCCACAGGCACACACCACCACTCCCAGGTACTTTTTGTAATTTTTGTAGAAACAAGGTTTCACCATGTTGTACGGACCGGTCTCGAACTCCTGAGCTCAAGCAATCTGCCCACCTCAGCTTCCCAAAGTGCTGGAATTACAGTCATGAGCCACTGCATCCAGACCCTCTTTATTATTTTGTGTGTGATAAGAATACTCAATCTAAGATCTACCCTCTTACATTTTTAAATATGCAACACAGTGTTTTCACAGGTCCTGCGATGTTCAGTGGCTCGCTGGGGTCTATTTGTGTCGTGTAACAGAAACTATACCCTTTGACTAACACTCCCTTGTTTTCTCCTCCCGCGGCCCTGGTAACTATCATTCAACTCTCTCCTTCTATGAGTTTGACTATTTTAGACTCCTCACATCAGTGGTGCCTTGCAGTATTCGTCTTTCTGTGTCTGGCTTGTTTATCTTAATATAATGTCCTCTAGTTTTATCCAGGTTGTCACAAATAACAAGATAGTCTTTATTTTTTCAGGATGAGTGATATTTCATTGCATGCACGTACTATATTTTCTTCATTCATACACTGATGGACAGTTAGATTGCTTGCATATCTTGGCGAATGTAAAATAATACTGCAACATATATGGGAGTGCAAATATCTCTTGATTTCAGTTCCTTTGGGTATATATCCAGAAGTGAAATTGCTGGATTACATGGCAATTCTTATTTTCGTGGAACCGCCATACTGTTCTCAATACTGGTTGTACCAGTTTGCATTCACACCAATAGTATATAAGGGTTCCCTTTCTCCACATTCCTGCCAACACTTTTCTGTTGAACCTTTTTATAATAATCATTGTAACCGGTATGAGATGATATCTCGTGTGATGTGATTTGCATTTCCTTGATGATTAGGGATGTTGAATGCCTATTTATATACCTGTTGGCCACTTTATAGCTTCTTTAGAGAAATGTCTATATTGCTACAAAATGTGCAAATCCCTTTGCACATTTTCTAATCAGATTACTTGGGGGTTTTATTCTATTGAGTTGTGGGATTCAATTTTGGATGCTATTCCTCTATCAGATATGCGGTTTGCAAACACTTTCTTTTATTCTGTGAATTTACATTTTGTTGATTATTCCCTTTGCTGTGCAAGAGCCACTTTGTTTCATGTAATCCCACGTGTCTATTTTTAGACAAGTTTTTGTTACCTGTGCCTTTGGAGTCGTATCTAAGAAATTCTTGCCAAGCCCAATGTCAAAAAGCTTTTATCCTATTTTTTCCTATTTTCTGGGCTCTCCATATGTTCCATTGGTCTATATATTTGTTTTTATGCTCTTACCATACTGCCTCAGTCATTTCAAATATATTTGAAAACCAAAAATTGTGATGCCTCCGCCTTTATTTTCTTTTTTAAGATTGATTGTGGTTATTCAGGGCCTTTTTCGGTTCTAATATGAATTTTAGGATTGTTTCTTCTATTTCCGTAACAACAAAACAAAAATGCCATTAGTCAAGGGCATGTTAGTAGGGATTACATTTAATCTATAGATCGCCTTGGGTAATATGGATATATTAACATAGGATGTCCTTCTGTTTATTTGTATCTTTTAAAGTTTATTTCATCAATGGTTTACAGTTCTGATGTACCAGTTTTTCACTTCCTTAGTTAAATTTATTCCTAAGTATTTTATTGTTTCAATGTTAATGTAAATGAAAATGTTTTCTTGATTTCTTTTTGGAAATTTCTCTTTGGATCGTTCATAGTTAATTAATAGAAAGGCTGCTAATTTTTGCATACTAATTTTGTATCCTGCAACTTTACTGAATTTAATAGTTCTAGTAGTTTTTCGGATTTGTTTTGTTTTGTTTGTTTGTTTGAGGCCTCTCTCTCTCTCTCTCTCTCTCTCTCTCTCTCTCTCTCTCTCTCTCTCTCTCTCTTTCTCTCTCTCCTCTCTCCTCTCTCCTCTCTCCTCTCTCCTCTCTCCTCTCTCCTCTCTCTTCTGTTGCCCAGGCTGGAGAGCAGTGGTGTGACCTTGCAACCTCCACCTCCCAGATTAAAGCAATTCCCATGCCTCAGCCTCCCAAATAGCTGGGATTACAGGCATATACCACCACCCCTAGCTAATTTTTGTATTTTTAGTAGAGACAGGGTTTCACCATGTTGGCCAGGCTGGTCTTAAACTCCTGACCTCAGGTGATCCACCTGCCTCAGCCTCCCAAAGTGCTGGGATGACAGGTGTAAGCCACCACACCCAGCCTTCTAGTCATTTTTCAACAAAATCTTTAGGGCTTTCTACTTATAAGTTCATGTCATCTGTGAATAGAGATAATTTTTCTTCTGCCTTTACAATTTAATTACCTTTTATTTTCATTTCTTGACTAATTGCTTTGGCTGGGAATTCCAGTACCATCTTGAACAGAAATGGTGAGAGTGGGCACCCTTGCCTTTTTCCAGATCTTATTAAAAAAACTTTCAGTTTATTGTGTATGATATTATCTGTGGGCTTTTTATATATGGATTTTATTAAGTTCCTTTTATAATTAATTTACTGAAAGTTATCATGAGAGGGAGTTAAACTTTGTCAAATGCTTTTTCTGTATTTTTGAGATGATCATGTGATTTTTATACTCCATTCTGTTCGTGTGGTGTGTCATATTGATTGATTTCTGTATGTTGAGCCATCCTTGCATGCCATGAACACATATTGTTTGATCATGGAATATGATCCTTTTAAAGTGCTATAAATTTTGTTTGCTATTATTTTGTTGGGGAATTTTGCATCTATGTTCATCAGGGATATTGGTGTAAAGTTTTGTTTACTTGTGGTATCTTTGTTCAGCTTTGGTGTCAGGGTGATGTTGACCTCATAAAATAAAACTCTTCTATTTTTAGAAGCATTTCAGAAGTAATGGTATTTATTTTTCTTTAAGTCTTTGGTAGAATTCACCTATGAAGTCATCTGGTCCTGGGCTTTTCTTCATTAGGCAGTGAGACCCTCCAAACAGGGTCTCACTATGTTGTCCAGGCTAGTCTCAAACTCCTGGCCCCAAGTTACCTTCCCGCCTTGTCCTCTCAAAGCATTGGGATTACAAGCATGAATCACTGCATCCAGCCTCTCAGTCTCCTTTTTGTTATTGGTCTATTCAACCTGTCTAGTTCTTCTTGGTTCGGCATTGATGGGTTGTATGTTTCTAGAAATTTCTCTATTTTTTCTAGATTGTCCAATTTTATGGTGTGTGATTGTTCATAATAGTTTCTATGGGTTTTTCATTCTTGTGAGATCTGTTGTCATGTCTCCACTTTCATTTCTGATTTTATTTATTTGAGTCTTCTTTCTTTTTTCTTAATCTAACCAAGTATTTGTCAATTTTAACTTTTAAAAAAAAACAAGTCTTAGTTTCCTCAATTTCTTCTAAATTTTTCTTTTCTCTTTTAGTTATTGATGTGCTAATCTGTATTATTTCTTCCCTTCTGCGAACTTTGGGCTTATTCTCTACTCTTTCTATAAGTCACTAACATCTAGTCCAGTTACCATTATTATTTTGATCTAAGTAGACATCCAGTCCTAGTTTGATGTGAGCATTTCTGTATGCTCAGGGAATTATTCTAAACTGAGATCCCGGCATAATTTCAGATTTTCTCAATAACTGATTTTACCTTCTACAGAAATGGTCTCCATATTGATTGTAAATACACTTAGTATAATTAATTCCTTTTCTTCTTAGGAGACTAATTTTTACATGACATTTACTCACATTGGATTAAGTTCCTCCTAGGGTGGGATAGGCAGGGGGTGGATATCATCTTACCTTAAAAATATTTTTCACATGAATATAACTGCACCGAATATCTAATTTTTCAAGTAACCTGTGAGTTTTTTCTAGGTTAATTTTTCCACCTCTAAAGTCATCCTGAATCTTCGACAAAAACCACGTATGAAGAACAAAAAAGTTAAGGAAATTCTCATAGAAAGTCATTGAGTATTTGAAATTCCTAAAGAAACATTTGATTTACTGTACTTGTTTTTATTTTTAAAGAATATGATTAAAATACAGGATAATTATATGATACAAATATTTTAAAATACAAAATTAAGTAATTATGATGCCAGAGTAAAGGTATGGAAGGGCATAGCACAGTAAAAATACAAAAAAAATTAAAATTTGAGAAGTAAAGTCATTACTTAGAAAATACATTAAAACATTATTACAATCTGTGGCCTGAAGGCATGAACTTGAGAGGCAGCTGGACTTCAATATCACCTCTCACCCGACCTCTCTCAGTTTTAGTTCTCTCTTCCAGAAAGGTGAGCAAATTTACCCTGAATCTTAAGGAAGGTAGAAGCATTAGATGAATTCCTAATATGTCACTGAATATAGTTGCTGCTACTTAGTGTTCAATAAATAGTAACCATGACTGATAAAATTATTATTAATAGATTAGTCATATGCCCAGCTACACACACGCTCAAGAAAGTGACATTTTAAGTACCATCCAAAAGCATCAAAAATACCATGCTGAGTGTATACTGGTATGAAAGAGAAAACAAAAAATTTACTTATCATAGACAGATAAGCTACAAAAACTAGGACACCTCCATACTAAGACTGAAATGACATAATGACAATTATCACTAAAATCATAAAAGGTATGGGTACAAATCATGCAAAACTAAGTTTCAGGATTGTTAGAGCAAATTCGCGACATGTCGTTAAACTGAATCGTTATGACTTAATACAGCAAAGCTCATGTCCTTGTAAGAAAAAGATACCAGAATGTAGGTAAACTTAGAAAAGCTCAGAGCAGACATGGAACAAGCAGTTCGACTTCAATGAAGAGGATTTAAATTCAGGACTCTTCGAAAAGAATAACAGCATCAAGTACAGAGGATAACTAGGAGAAAGGAGAAGAGGGGCAGGAGGAACTTTCAATGGATATCTCGTTTCCATAGTTTTATGACCTGTAGAGCCGTTTCTCCTCGCTTAGAAGTCTCTCCCCGATAGGTGCTGTCACGGGTTCCAAATACAATTAACTTTGTCCCTTTGCAGAAAATAATTTCTTGATACTCATCGGCTGTTACCACTTTTCTAGGGAGAAAGCAGAGAATACACAGTGGTCTGCTGCCTTTGTTCTTTGAAGCTAGCTCACACTTAGCCACAGAAACAGTATGCAAGATGTGGTACCTGCATTACCCTGCCCTGGAAACTTTTCGGCTTCTTCAGTTCTGTCTCCACACCCACTGTTTGAAAACACAGCTTTCTCTGATGTCTGGCATTTTTCCATGAACTGCTACTGTATCTCATTTAATTTTACTATTTTATTTTAACCCCTCAAACCTTTCATCATAATGTGCTTCCAGTGCGTTTGGGCAGCTACTCTGAGAGGCTGAGTATAAATCAACACCACTGTGACTCCTGACGCTCGAAAGGGCTGTCACTCTGGAAACTGGGCTGCTGCTCTAGATCCCTGACAACATGTAACGCACACAGAGACGCACCATTCTGAAGAAGACTATTCAGGAGGCTCAGTTCTTAAAATCTTCAAAATAGGTACAGCGGGTTAGCTGGGCAGCACACTGTCAGGTGACTGTCATTTTTTTCTTTTGGTCTGAATGCCCATTGTGATATCATCAGAGGTTCCCCACTGCACAGAGAAAGATTCTTTATGACCTCACCAGGAGGCTCAGAGCTTGCCAGACTGCCTGCTTTCCTGGGGGGGCACAGTCATCTTCAGCTTGAATGTTAACACCTTGATGGGAAAAGTGTCTCATGGAATGTTTTCTTATCCTTTGAACACTCTTTATTTCAGAAGCTTTGCTTCTGTTGCAATGAATCATGGCACTTAGCGTGCTGAGCAGGAAGGACAAGGAAAAAGTCATTCGCAGACTGTTAATACAGGTACCTCCGGGGGAATTTGTAAATGCCTTTGATGATCTCTGTCTGCTTATCCGTGATGAAAAACTCATGCACCGTCAAGGTGAATGTGCAGGCCACCAACACTGCCAAAAATACTCTGTACCACTCAGCATCGACGGAAATCCAGTACTCTTGTCTCACCACAATGTAATGGGTGACTTCCGATTCTTTGACTACCAAAGCAAACTTTCTTTCAAATACAACCTGCTTCAAAATCAGCTGAAAGACATCCGAAGCCATGGTGTCATTCGGAATGAGACAGAATGCCTGAGAGTCGTCGTGCTGTGCGCCTTAAAACTGTATGTGAACGACCACTATCCGAAAGGAAACTGCAACGTGCTGAGAAAAACTGTCCAAAGTAAGGAGTACTTGATAGCTTGCATTGAAGACCACAACTACGAAACGGGAGAGTGCTGGAATGGACTTTGGAAATCCACATGGATTTTCCAAGTTAACCCATTCCTAACTCAAGTAACAGGAAGAATATATGTGCGAGCTCACTTCTTCAGGTGTGTCAACCTTCATATTGAAATATCCAAGGACCTGAAAGAAAGCTTGGAAATAGTTAACCAAGCTCAACTGGCTCTGAGTTTTGCAAGGCTTGTGGAAGAGCAAGAGAACAAATTTCAAGCTGCAGTCTTGGAAGAATTACAGGAGTTATCCAACGAAGCCCTGAGAAGAATTCTACGAAGGGATCTTCCGGTGACCCGCACTCTTATTGACTGGCAGAGGATACTCTCTGACTTGAATCTGGTGATGTATCCTAAATTAGGATATGTCATTTATTCAAGAAGTGTGCTGTGCAACTGGATAATATAAAGAACTGCTCCTGGTAACGATCTCGATCTGACTCATTTATGATTCTGGGGAATAGTTATTTTCCTACTATTAAGCAATCTGTAGAGATGTTTCTCACTTAGCCAATGCACGTTTAAATAAGGAACGTGTTACAAGTGATTTTACTTGGGAAATATTTATATATAAGGCAAGAAAGTGTAAAGTGAAATGTGTTTCATAGTAGTGATCATCATAAAGACCAAGACATTTGTTAGAAACTAAAATAGTTTTACAGAATATGGGATTCCAGAAATAATATATGGGTGGCCAGGGCTAAGGCCGTGTGTGTGTGTGTGTGTGTGTGTGTGTGTGTGTGTGTGTGTGTGTGAAAGAGAGAGACTTCTGAGTTTGTTTTGAACTGAAAAGGTATACAAATGGATATCACTCCACCAATGATATTTTACATCACTCAGTTTAGTCCTGGACCATCCACAAGAGGATGAATTTCAATAACTGACGTTAGGTTTGGATTTTCCATGAAACCAACAGATACCAAAAATCTAGCTCAGATGAAGGACTATTAACACATTTGGCTACTCTTCCTTTCTACTTCCCTCCCCTCAAGAATTGGGGTTACTCAAAATCTCTGTCTTGTCTGATAACGAACATGGTCTTCCAAGACTAGACAAGCCTGACTTCCCGAACTTTTGCAGCTGAGCTTTTGGGAAGTCATCACTGGAAACACTCAGAAGTGCTTACTGGATAACATGGCTTGTGCTAAATATTTTGCAAAAAACGTTTTCATCACTAATTTGGTCCTAGTATTCTCTCCATTGTACATAAGACAAACCCAAGATCTCAAGTTGTTTACATCTTCCAGACACATAATGTCATAGTTTATTTATGCAGCTATAACAAAATACCAGAAATTGAGTAACTTATAAATAATGGGAATGTATTACTCACAGTTAAGGGGGCTGCAAAGTCAAAGACCAACGTGCTGGCAGATTCAGTGCCTAGTAAAGGTCTGTGTCCTTCTAGATGGGACTTCTTTTTTTCTTTTTTGGGACGGAGTTTCGCTCATGTTACCCAGGCTGGAGTGCAATGGCGCGATCTCGGCTCACCGCAACCTCCTCCTCCTGGGTTCAGGCAATTCTCCTGCCTCAGCCTCCTGAGTATCTGGGATTACAGGCACGCACCACCATGCCTGGCTAATTTTTTTGTATTTTTAGTAGAGACAGGGTTTCACCATGTTGATCAGGATGGTCTCAATCTCTTGACCTCATGATCTACCCGCCTCGGCCTCCCAAAGTGCTGGGATTACAGGCTTGAGCCACCGCGCCCGGCCCATAGATAGGACTTTCTAACTGTGACCTTCATGGTGAAAGGGGCAAAGCAGCTCTGTAGAACTTATTTTATAAGGGCACTGATATCATTCATGAGGGCTCCACCCTCATGAGCAATCACCGCCTAAAGTCCTCACCTCAAAATACCATCACTTGGAGACTCAGTTTCAACATCTAAACCTTGTGGGGACAGAATCAGATCATGCCAGGTAGTGGCAAGTGTGTGTGGCTCATGCTCCAGGTACAACAGTACCCCAAGGAGGCCTATTCATTATGAGTTCTGGACTCTGATGTACAGGGACTTCAGCAAGCATCCCACCTTAAAGGACACCCTAGAAGAAATGGAACTTGTAACGGCTGTTTTCTAGCCAGAGCATGCCACCTATGCGCTCACCCTATCACTGTTCCTAGCAATGTTACTGACCACTGGTATCTGCTCTTTCAGTAAATTCCAAATGTAAACCTCTGTAACAAGATTACAGAAAAGCAGTAAGTAGGCCCCATCTTCCAAGTCTGGTTTACCTAAGAAGCAAAGTATTTTGTATTTTGAATTCAGGTGCTTGAAAACCAGTTATAATTCTACTTATTAACATTGGAACAGACGAGATCCCATGCAAGAATTTCTAAAGCTCAAACCTCCCCAGCTGGTGATTCTTAGAGAATCTCAGGAGAACTACCTGGGGTTTATCTTTAAAAATACACATTACTGGGGCCCATCCTAGGATTCTAATTTAGTAGGCTGGGAAATCTACATTTTTATCAAGTATCAGAGATTACTGTGATGCATAAGATTTCAGGGCCACATGTTAAGAAATGTGCCCTAATCTTAAAATAGCATGTCCTGTGCTTTCTATTTACTTAATTAAAATTTCCCATAAACCTTAGCCCAATGAAGGCCATTGCTTCTACTTCACTGCATTTACTATGCACAGATCAAGGGCAGGACTTACCATGTAAAAAAGGTAAAAACAAACTTTCTAAAGAAAACCAGAAAAGAAATTGCTCTCATAGCACGAAAATACAGCCGTCTGGTGAATTCTTAAGCAACAATTTGAATTGATATTACGGTTTTACGTGTACGTGTTGATTTTTCAGATCATTGCAGATTAGGACTCAATGGTTTGTAAATTGCAGAGGCATTTAGCCCCTGTTCTAACATCGGGGTTTTTAAAAATAATATTTATTGATAATTCTGAATATAAAAGTCATATGTACAAATTGCAGAAAATGCTTAAAGCACAAAGCCCATTTTATTCTGTGGCCCATTTTCTTCTGTCCAATTTTATAGGACTGCTTTAAATAGTAAGAATAGACAAAATATAAACATGCGTATCTTGTTCTTTTTTTATAACACATCTATCATAAACATTGCCCCATGTCATTAAAACCCCTTGAGCACATAATTTTAATTATTTACATAACATTCATACTGTAGATGCCATAACAAGACAAACCATTTTTCTTTTCATATATAATTTAAACTTTTAGCATTTTATCTCTGTTATTCATTATGCTATGATGAACATTTGTTTGTCCACATCGTAGATTATTTTCCTTGAGATAAATTTCTTAAAACTGCATATTAAAAAGACATGCACATATTAATGGTTAATATATATTGCCAAATTGCTTTTCATGAAGATTGTGACAAATTTCTAATCCCATTAGTAGCATTAAGAGGGTATCTAGCTCAGCACAGTAATCTTGATCATATAATATCCCCTTTTTTTAGATAAGCAACAAGAAAAACTTGAGACAATACAAATCAGAAAAAAAGTAATTTCATTAACTTATACTTCATTATGTCAAGAGCTTTCCCACAAGGATATTTAATTTGGCAGTTATTTTCCTTATATGGACATTGGCAGAGCCAGGGAAATGCAGTTACTGCCTGTTCCCTATACCTCTCTCTGTCTTTTCTCTTTCTCTGTCCTCTTTCTCTTTCTTTTTCTCTCTTTCTCTTTCTCTCTCTCACACACCCACACACACTTAGACCTACACTCCAAGCACATACATCCACACATGTCTAGGCATATACACGCATAAAAATATTTCAGATTGAGAAGTCACTGTGTTCACTCCCTCAAATCCCGCTCCCAACAGGAATATAAGCTCCATCAGAATGATGATCTTGTCAATTCCACATACCTAGTCCATTATTGTCTGTCATATGGCACGTACTGGAATGAATGAATGAATGAACAAATGAATAAGGATAACAAAGATAGGAAGCACAGTAGGTTTAACTGGCCTTGAGATTTTGTACCCACCGACACCTTCTGTCCCTTAGGAGGCATGCGTTCCACCACAGATTCCCAGTGCTGATGTTATAACCCCTTACTCCAAGGCAGTTCATTCCCTTCAGAAACTGCCATTGGTCTTCTGCTGTGATGGAAACCTTCCCTTTCTTCTGATTCCAAATGGTAGGAGAGTCAGGTTTAAGAAAATCTCTATCAAGTTTAAGAAAATCAAGTTCTTCAAAAGTCATACATTTCTTTTCATTTTACATTGATTACATTTTACATGATTCTTCATCAAAGATTTTCTTCCTTGGAGGCTCAGAGAGCTAAAGGAATGACCATAACACGTTCTAGTCAAGCACAGGTCCATAAGGAGACTTACATCTGTCACACCCCAGCTGTTAGGGTGCATCCCTGCTGCCCTGGAGGATGGCCTGGCTTCACGAGTGCCTTGACATTAAAGCAGGTTTCATTGTTTCCTTTTTGTTTGCACTTTTATCACATTGTACAAGACCTAACTAGCCCCTTCTACATATCATGCATTTCTGGAATAATCAAATGGAGCTCCTATTCAACTCCTAGTGTTCAAAAGCTTATAAAGGCCCTCTCCATAGTGGATTACATGTTAGTGAGTCAATATGAAGTTTTTAGTTCACTGCCACTCAGCCAATATTTGGCCATGTTATCGATTTCTCTCACCTTCTTCTCAATCTTCTCGTCATGATGTACCTTAGATTCTTGTCCCCCTACTTGCATAATTGAAGCAGCTCCCTAGGATTTCCTACTATTCTTACAAAATGAGTTACCAGTGCACCTTTTCCTAAACTCTCACGAAATCTATCTTGACTCCACTTCAGACGCTTGTCTTTCACTCCTGATGAGCAATCTATTGATTCTTTTTTCCTCACATCTGTAGTCTTTTAATGATATGCTTTCAATTTTCTCTACTAAACTCCACTTCTTCATCATTGCTTCACAGAGCAAACAACTTTGTTCCTTCACCAACAAGATACATCTTTTCAGAAGAGCTATTGCTTTCTTTCTCTGCATTTGAAAACATGTTTCGGTTCTTCTCCTTCCAAATAGACACCAAAGAAGTGTCTGTTCCTTTCTAAGACTAACTTTTCTTCCTGTGCATCAAACCCTAAATTCTCGGTCTTTTGCCATCCATGCTCTTTATCCTTCAAGGTGTTTTATTTTGTTTGGTTTCGTCTCAGATAGCGTCTCACTCCGTCACCCAGGCTAGAGTCCAGTAGCACAATCAAGGCTCACTGCAACCTCCCTCTCCCAGGCTCAAGAGATCCTCCTACCTCAGCCTCCCAAGCAGCTGGGAATACAGGCATGCACCATCATACCTGGCTAACTTTTGCAACATTTTGTAGAGATGGCATTTCACCGTGTTTTCTGGGCTGGTCTCAAACTCCTGTGCGGTCAGTGGTAATACCCTCCTTAACGTTGCTCAGGTAATATGGCC